CCGTGGCTCCGCTCAGCCCGCGGGACCCCCGGGCCTCTCGGCCCCCCTCTCTCCCGAGGGAGCGGCTCCTCATCACGGACCGTCTCGCGATGGCAGGAGCAACCGGCATCGGACCGCGGAGCCGGACGGGGTCGGGACGTGCGTGGGATCGGGCCGCATCGGCACGGCGTGGGAATCGAGCCAGACTGGCCGCGCCAGGATGCACGACAGCACCACGCAAGCTCCGGGCCGCATCAAATCGTGAGAATGTCAGACTCGGAATCGATTTCAAGCTGGCCGAAGCCGATAGACATCAGATCGGATCGATAGGGTAGACCCTGGATGGCCCCAGGGGCCGAAAACCCTCGTGCTGAGATCGGGGATGAGCCCTGGTGGGGCACATGGTACTAGTACGTATGCCCTCCTTCGTCCCTCCTCCTCCTTCTCCTCCTCCTCCTCCTCGTTCCTCCCTCCTCCTCCTCCTTCTCCCCTCCTCCTCCCTCCCTCCTCTCCTCTCCTCTCCTTTACTCCTTCTCCTCCTCTTCCTCCTCCTCCTCCTCCTCCTCCTCCTCTTCCTCCTCCCTCCCTCCTCCTCCTCCTCCTCCCTCCTCCTCCCTCCTCCTCCTCCTCCTCCTTCTCCTCCTCCTCTTTCCCCTCCCCCTCCTCCTCCTCCTCCTCCTCCTCCTCCTCCTCCTCCTCCACCTCCTCCTCCTCCTTCTCGTCATCCTTCTCGGGATCGACGTCGCTGGCGCTCCCCTTAGGCCTCCCTTGCCCCCAAAGGCGCCCTGAGGCCCGCTATGGGGCCCTCTGGGCACAGCCAGGAACCTCCCAGGGCATTTCTCTGTTCCGTCCTGGATCCGATTGAAGGGGCCGAGGGAGACACGAATAAATAGACAAAAATCACAGGAGTCCCTTTACATTCGCATATTGCTTCGGTTTTCGTCTTCCCCTCCACTCCCCAAATTGTCCCACAGTTTCCTGGGAATGGACGAACATTTGTGTCTGTGTCTATTTCTCCGTTGTGGATCCGATGCCCGATGGCGCGGGGTCCACAAGCGGCCCCTCCGATGCCAAGGAACAAAAACAAATCCGCCACAGTTTGGGGGCGTCCAGAGAGGGAGTCGCCCAAAGAGGGGGGGTCGCAAGTCATGAAGGGGGCCATGAAGTCTGGGAGGGTATAACCTGGCCCTGATATCCTCATACCCCTAGTCGTCACCCTCCTCTTGGCCGTCCCCGCCAGAAGGTCTGAGCCCATCCCACTTCCTCCTATTGGGCGGGCGTCGAAAGGACGCAGTCGACGAGAGAGATCAGCAAGGCCATCAACCCGAGAACAACAGCGATGGCAAAACATCAGAGTCAAAAACACAGGTGTATACAATAACGATGATAACAGCAACCACACAAACACCAACATCAACACTAACAACAACAACAACAACAACAACAACAACAACAACAACAACAACAACAACAGCAGCAGCATCAGCAGCATCAGCAGCAACAACAACAAGACCAACAACAACAACAACAACAACAACAACACCAGCAACAACAGCAGCAGCAGCAAGAACACCAACAACAACAACAACAACAACAACGACAATCACAGCAGCAGCAATAGCAACAACAACCACGACAACCGCAACATAATCAACAACAACAACGGCATTCACAGCAACGAAACCAATAACGACAACAACAGCAGCAGCAGCAACAGCAACAACCACAACAACAATGACATTCGTATTAAGACTGCTCGCTGTGTTCTGCTCGCAGGCCAGTGAAACGTATATGCCAAGCCCTCGATGCCCTCCGCCCTCCTTGTCTTCGATCGTACCCCCCTAGCAGTATACATCTTTCTTACCTGCAGCGTGTATTTCGTGCAGCCACTAAGGCAGTGGAAGAGAGGGCGGATGGAAGGAAGGGACAAGGGGGAGGGAGGAGGATGGAGCACGAGAGAGAGTGTAGCAGGAGGGGGGCTGGGAGCAAAAAACACGTGGCAGAACTAGACGGGCAGATCGGGCAAGTAAACCCTGACGGGCGGGTCGGGAAGGCGGGCCCAAGCGGCCAGGTCGAGCAGGCGGGTTCTGAAGCGTGCTTACTGCACGAATCGCGAGGAATTCTTGAGCGATATCGCGATTCCCAAATCAGTCGTGAGTAGATCCGCAGCGAGACCGGGATTCCTGAGTGCCGAGGACTCGGCGTCTGAATCAATTGCGAGGAAGTCCCACGCGAGAACGTGATTCCTGCATAAAGTGTGAGGACGTCCCGCGCGAGAGCGCGATTTGGGAATACATTGTGAGGAAGTATCAGGCGGGAACCGTTGTTGTAGTAGTTCGGGGGCCGGCAACAAAGTTTGGCGGCACCTCGCTGTTCCTTGCAAAAAAAAGGGGCGAGTCCTGGGAGTGGCACTTTAACAATAATTATTTGTTAGGAATGAGTATTCAACCATAACAACAACAGCAGCAGCATCAACAACAGTTGGCAACAGCAGCAGCAACAACACTCACAATAACCACAACAACCACAATGACGACAACGACAACGACAACGACAATGACAACGAAAACGACAACACCAGCAACACCAACAACATCAACAACATCAATAAACACAACAACAAACACACATTCACACACACGCACACAACAACCGCAATAATAACAACAACAACAACAACAACAACAACAACAACAACAACAACAACAACAACAACAACAACAATAACAACAACAATCATTTTACCCGAACGCTCAGTGTTCTCCCCAGTGCCAGGGTTTTCTTGCGACACCAGCCAATACCCCCACTTCGTGGGGGGGCCGTTCAAGCTCTACCAAATATCCAAACGACTCTTCGAGACCACCCACACCCAGCTTCCCGCCCTATGACGTTGGGACACTTCACTTCGTGGCGTGCGGACGACCCTGGCTACTACACTGGCGTGGGGTACACACCCACAGAGGTTGATCACATCTGTTACATATGATGTGGTACACGGTACACGTGAGATGGTACGCAGTGCCAAGATAGTTGGTCACATTTTTGGGGCAAATTCGTGGGGATGCGATTACAGAAGTACATGTGTTACACTGATGTTATACAGTCCCAAGGATGACGCATGCATTGCTCATAGACTCATGGCGCTATGATCCTAACTCTCAGTGCCCAACGCGCGCGTGCACAGCCAGACGGAGGGAGAGAAACACATGTATACAAGGTTCGTGACATACGCACGGTCCACCATGTTGTAAACGATCGCATGCACGGTAAGTTCTGAAATTATACGTATGTACAAGCAGACATGCGAGGGAGAAAGGGAGATGGCCATCGACAGTTCCAATACGGCTCCAAGGCGGAAGAGGGGGAGGAGGAGCAGGACAAGGAGGAAAGGAGAGAAGCGAGTCGGTACCAAGGACAAGGAGACAAGGACAGCAGGACCTGGTATCGTCATTCGCCTCAGTCGGAACTTCGACAAGCAGCGAGCACCACTCTCATGCGGCCGCGCGCATGTGCACTTCGTCTCATTTTTTGCAAGGGATGGTGGCCCTCGCAGGCGCGCAACCGTTGTTGGAGAAGTTCAAAGCACCTGAAGAAGTAGCACGCAAAGACCCTTTTGACAGAAATGTTTAAAAAGTGGTGTGTTTCCTATGAATCCGCAAGAGCGCGCGGAAGGACATTTTGACAATTTTTTCTTAAAAAAACCATTGGGTTTTTGATGTTTTTATGTTAAAATCGTTACGAAACCTAAGGTTTTGGAAGGATTTCGTCTTGCGAGCGCGAATGTCCACTTTACCTTATTTTTTGCAAGGGATTCTTGAAATTTGATCAACTAAGAACAAGAATTTTCATTTTCTATTGTTTTTTGCAAGGGAAAACGAGCGTCAACAAAAAACCGGATCCGGGGGTAATCCACTTTTTTGAAGCTTTCGCAGAAAAATGATGAAAATGTAGCTGCGGCCTAGGTTTTGGGCGGGGGGCGTGCACCAGGGGGTCCAACAATAATAATTCTTTAGAAGTAATAGTGTTCAACAACAACAACAACAACAACAACAACAACAACAACAACAACAACAGCAGCAGCAGCAGCAAGAACAACAACAAAACAAACAAACAAAGAAAAACATGTGGGGCACACGCCGCCCCTCATGGGCGGGAAACTGATCTCCACATCCAGGGCCTCGCGGTCCCGGCCCCTGGACCGCGACCCCGTGGACTCGGGGCAGTTTTGCGCGGGCGCCCCACGCGCAGAGTGTGAGCGGGACCGCGCAGCCGCCAAAGATCGCGCCTCGGCACTCAGACCACGAAGGCATGGATACGGATATGTCCGTCGCTCGTGATCCTCCCCGCTGACCACCGACGAGGTCCGCTCCAAATCGGTACCTGGACCTCTCCTGGGCCCACCTCAGGCCAGCCTTTCCTCTGGAACCGACTTCTGACGGCCGGGGCCCCCGAAGACTGTCTCCCGACGCCGAAGGCGACGAGAAAAGCTCGACCCTACACGACCCTGGAAAAGAATTTGACTCTCGCGCGCTGGCCGTCTCTCTGCACCCTTCAGTATCAATGCTCGCGCGGGGCGCCGCACGTCCCGATTTCCCCGCCGTCGGCCTCGTCTGACTCAAAATTGAGATCGACGGGACGGGGGGGCAAGAATAAAAAGAAACTAACAAAAAAATGGTTGTCTTACTTTCCAGGGGGCGTGCAGCTCCTTTCTGTGCACCCCCTCGGGAAGAGGCCGCTTTCGGCTGCGGCCCGTTCTGGCTCCGGCCCGTTCTGGCTCCGCCGGTCTGCTTCCGTTTCGGCCCGTTTCGGCCCTCGCGGCTCGTCTCGGCCCTCGGGCCGCTTCGGCCCTCGGCCAATTCCGTGCCCGCCCGCTTCGGCCCTGGCCTGAGCCGTGACGCGCCGGAACCGAAAAACGGGCCGAGGCCGAAACGGGCCGAGGCCGACATGGGCCGAGGGCCGAACCGGGCCCGAAGCCGTCTCGGGCCCTCGCCCCTCGGGGAGCCCTCCCCGCTGGCGTCCGCCTCCTCGGCGAGCGGCTCCGGCGCCGCGGGCGGCTCGGCGGCTGCGGCCACGGCAGGGGCGGGCGCACTCGGCACGGGGTCGCAGCTGCCGCAGCCCGCCGCCCGGAGGGCGGCCGCGCTGGCGTCCGGCTCACCTCTGCGGAGGGGTGGTGAGGGGAAAACGACACCGTGACGCGCCGTCGTTGCCGCCGCCGTCCTCCTCGCCCTCGCCGTCGTCCTCGGCCGCGCCCGCGTGCCACGGGCCGACGAGCTGGGCAGCTCCCTGGGGCGCCCGGCGCCGAGGTGCGCAAGCGCTACCTGCAGCAGAGGGGGGTTCGCAGAGCCACGGACCGCCCCTCCCGCGTACTGCACTTTTACGACGGCATGAGAGCAACAAGTGGTAGGACGATCTGATGTGCGTGACGGCTACCACGCACGATGCGTCGGGTCGTGGCGCACCCTGCACACACAGCACCGCGGCCCTGCACACGACATGCACCACGAGGATGCGTAGGTACTGAGCTGCCTGCCGCTGCAACAGTTGCTGCATCTTGCCATCAGTCCGTGCGCTGCTACGGTGCTGCCCTCTGGGCAGTCAGACGCACACGCGCGAGAGGAACCTAAGCAGCGGGCGATACCGTGCGGTCAGAGCACTGGATAAGGAACCCTTAGATGAAACATCCAGGGTTTGAAAACCTGCTGGAGCACCAATTGAGACTTGGCCATAGATATCGCCGCCGCCCTCATCTGACGAGGATCCCTCCAAGGTCTGAAGCTCCCTGGGCACACTCCTACGCGAACGTCCCGAACGTGGACCGCAGCTCGGGTCGGACCGAAGAGTGGAGGCAATCAAGGCGGGGTTGGCGAATCGGCTCACGAACGGCTGGCTTCCCAGTGCTTCCAGGCGCCGAGAGGGCGAAACGGGTCCATGCGCCCCCCCCATGAGCCTATCCCACCTCGACGTGGCCTCTGAGGGGGGAGGCAAGGCAAGCAGCCTCGGTCCTCGAGGATCGGGCATCCACGTGCTGCTGCGTGCTAGGGTTTCGCCCCCCGTGCCCTCGAGGATCCACCCACGGGGATCTGGCTAAAGAGGCGACTGGCTCCCCTCGCGAAAGTGAGGAGGAACAAATCGCGACGGAAGTTTCCAGAGTTGTACGTCCTAGGTTTTCTGGCGGGGGGGGGCCTCCTGAAGGCTCCTCGTCGGCACGACTGGATTCCTCTCGTACACGAGGTCGGAACACCCTTGGGATGGGCCCGAGCTCGGATTGTCTGTGAAAAGTCAATGCGGAATGTTTTTGGGGGGGGGGCCGTCTTCGATCTCTAGGAGGGGGGTCAGGGGAAGGGCGGGCATCATTGGGCCCGTGAACGTCAACAAAAACGGATCGAGATGAGAAACCGGTCCCGTGGGGAAGGGTCGAGAAGTCTCGGGGTCCACGTTGCGAAGCAGTCGCGACGTCGATCGAGGGTCTGGGACAGATGCCATGTTTCGCACTCGACCCTCGAGGGTCGAGGACTGAGGTGTTGGAAGCATGCTGCGATGGTGAGAATATCTGACGTTCTGAACGTCCTGGGGGGGCAGCAGGCCCAAGCCTCCGACGATCTGTCTCTGGTTCAATGCCGGCGTCTCCCTTCACTTCCGCTTCCGCGGGCCGCTTCTGGGCCCTGGGGCCATGAGAAATGTGCCTGGGACGCAAACAGTTTGCGTTCCCCGGGAGGCTTGAAACTTCCCCCAGGGAGGGGGGCAAGGGGCCACGGATTGAAAAAGCATGTCGGAGAATGTCTGGGAGGCTCCCAGGGGCCTCCGGGAGCCTCCGAGGACATCTGAGGATCAGGGTCTGGGGCGCCGCTAAATCTGACCGAGCACTCACAGCTCCAAATTCACCTGTCTTGCATGTTCCTCCCTGTCTCTCTGCTGCGCCACGTGCCCTCCTTCTCCTCCTCCTTCTTCTCCTCGTCCTGAACAGCAACAAAAACAACAACAACGACACCGACAACGACAACAACAGCAACAACAACAACAAGACTAACAACAACACTGACAACAACACTAAGAACACCAACGCCAACAACAACAAAAACAACAACAGAAACAACAACAACAACAACAACACCAACAACAACAACAACTACTACATCATCAGCATCATCATCATCAGCAGCATCATCATCATCAGCAGCAGCATCATCACCATCATCATCGTCGTCAGAATCGTCGTCATAATCAGCAGCATCATCATCACTATCATCACCATAATCAGAATCATCAGCAGCAGCACCATCAGCATCGTCATCATCAACGTGATCGTCCTCGTCGTCGTAGTCATCAGCATCATCAACATCATCATCATCACCATCATCAGAACCAGCATCAGCATCATCATCATCGTCATCATCGTCATCACCATCAGCATCGTCGTCGTCATCATCATCATCACCATCAGCATAACCATCATCGTCAGCATCGTCGTCATCGTCATCATCGCCATGAACATCATATCATATTCATGATTGGCATCGTCATCGTCATCATCAGCAGCAGCATCACCATCCTTGTCAAAATCAGCATCATCATCAGCGCCATCAGCATCAGCATCAGCATCATCATCAGCAGCAGCATCACCATCGGCATCGTCAAAATCATCAGCATCAGTATGATCATCATCGTCATCATCGTCAGCATCATCGTCATTATCGCCATGACCATCAGATCCTCGGCATGATCGTCATCGTTATCGTAACCATCATGATCAGCAGCAGCAGCATCAGTATCACTCTAATCATCGTCGTTGTCATCGTCGTCATCGTCATGATGAGCAGCATCATCATAATGATCGTCACCACCAGCATCATCATCAGTATCATCATCGTCGTCATCAGCAGCAGGATCAGCATCATCATCAACATAGTCAGAAATGTAATGAGCTTCATTACAATCAGTTTTCTCGCCCTCACTCGCATCATCATCGTCGTCGCCATGACCATCATGATCAGCAGCATCACCATAATCATCATCATCAGCATCAGCATCACCATCATCATCAGCATCAGCATCAGCATCATCATCATCATCATCATCATCATCATAAGCATCATCATCATCATCATCATCATCATCATCATCATCATCATCATCATCATCATCATCATCATCATCATCATCGTAAGCATCATCAGCAGCAGCATCATCAGCAGCTTCAACATCGTCAACGGCATCAGCATCGTCGTCATCATCGTCATCGCCACCGTCACCATCAGCAGCAGCAGCACCGCTCACGGGCGGGGATATACGCGTGGACCCCCGTCGGCGCGCTGCCCGTCGGCTGCTTTTCCCCCCGCTGGCCCTGCTGCCCACCCGAGCACACGGCTGAGAACCGTTCGCGGTGGAGCCACGCCAGCGCAGCCCGCGCGGGTTCAGGCGAGACATGGCTTTCCGTGGGGCTGCCGTCGGGGCAGCGACGCTGCGAGCGTCGGCCGCGAGCAGCCTCCCTGGCCCTGAGATCTAGCTAGGGAACGGCGCGCGACATCTGGGGCCCATCCTGAACTCCCAAGGAGTCCTCGCTTCAGCGTCCTGGCCGTACGGCGCACCAGCCGTGGACTTTGTCCAGGCGCGCGCGGTCTCCACCGCGGCAGGCGCTCAAGCCACTCAGTACACTCAAGTTCCCACATTGATTTCGTACCTGCTGGGCGCAGTGCCTGTACCTTCCGTCGAGGGGCAAACGAGGGGGCAACCGACTGTTTGCCCGACATCCAGGGTCATTCGAAACATTGTGCGCTGAGCGGTGCGCAACTTGCCATCTAGACCTGTTGCAAATGTCCAGCGCGTCGACCCGCGCGACACCGCACGTTAAGCGCAGACAGCTGACCAAACTACGGACTGCATGTCAAATCTGAATGTCTGACCATGAGTGGAGAAAGAAGAGGACAGGGGGAAGGCGGAAGGGGCAAACGAGGAGGCCAGAGGAGAGAGGGGAGAGCAGAGGATGGGGAAAGAGGAGGCGGGAGGCAGAGCTGGAAGAGGGACGAAGAGGAGGAGAACCAGGGAGATTGCATCAGAGCGAAGGAAGGGGAGCAGCAGCAGGTGGAGGAGGAGGAGGAGGAGGAGCGGGACGAGGCGGACGAAGGGGAGGGGGAGAGGGGGCACAAGGAGGAGCAGAGGGTGGCAAGGAGGGGGAGCAAGAGGAGGGGCAGAACGGGGGAGGACCGAGCATCACCACCGCCGCCGCCGCCGCCGCGGAAGACCCCCCCAGCTCACCTGGCTCACCTGGCCCAGATGCGCCTGCCGGCTCCGCCTCCAGCCTCCTGTGGACGGGCAAACTATTCCGCCCCCTGACCCCCCCCCCGAAAGTCAAAACACACAGACAGAACAAGCAACGAGAGAACAAGCAAAAAAGAGAAGACGAGAACACACGAGCAAACAAGATAATAAACGAACACCGCCGGCGAGAGAACAAACAAACGAATAAGAAAAGCGAAGGAACTAACACACACACACTCACATACACGACGACAACAACAACCAAACAAACCAAACAACCAAACAACCAAACAACGAAACAACCAAACAACCAAACAACCAAACAACGAAACAACCAAACAATCAAACAACCAAGCAACCAAACAACCAAACTAACAGAAAGACAGACAGACAGACAAACAAACAACAACTACAACAGCAACAATATGATTACGATTGCTCGCTCTAGTCTGCTCGCGTGTCATTCAACACGTATTTCCCAAACCCTCGATACCCGCCCTTCTCGTCTTCGATCGTACCTCCTTGGGGATACATCTTTCTGACCTGCAACGTGTATTTCGTGAAGCCCCCAAGGTAGGGGAAGAGAGGACGGACGGAAGGAAGGGACAAGGGGCAGGGAGAAGGATGGTGCCGAGAGAGCGTAGCAGGAGGGGGCCTAGGAGCAGAAAGCACGTGGCAGAACCAGACGGGCAAATCAGGCGGGTAGACCCTAACGGGCGGGTCGGGAAGGCGGGCCGAGGCGGCCAGGTCGAGGAGGCGGCTTGCTGAAGCGTGCGTCCTGCATGAATCACGAGGATGTCTCGAGCGATAGCGCGATTCCCAAGAAAAGCATGAGAAATCCAAAGCGAGAGCGTGATTCCTGAGTGTCGAGGGTGCGGCTTCTGAATAAAGTGTGAAGAGATTTTACGCGAGAGCGCGATTCCTGTTTAAGTTGTGAGGACGTCCCGCGCGAGAGCGCGACTTGGGAATGAAATGTGAGGAAGTATCAGGCGGGAGCCGCTGTTGTTGCAAACTGGGGGGGGGCAAAGACAGTTTGGTAAGACCTCATTTCCCCTGGTAAAGGAAAGGGTGCGAGCCCCGGGAGAAGGACATCAATTTAAAAAATACCATGGTTACCCGAGGGGGGATCAACAATACTTGTTCTTTAGAACTGAGAATTCAACAACATCAACAACAACTACAACAACAACAATAACATCAAACAACAACACCAAACAAACAACACCGAACAACAAACAACCTACAATAAAAAAACAGCAACTACAACAACAACCACAACAATTACAACAACAACATCAGCCGCAACCACAACAACGACGATGACGACGACGACAACAACAACGACCAGCAAAACAGCAATAAAACAAGAAGGGAGGGGTAACTCATCCAAGCTGAGCACGCCCCAATGCGGACGCGCTTCCCCCCCCTTACCGGGCTGGTAACCCGGAGGATTGCGCTCCAGGCCCCCTGGGGGGAAGTCGCAGGGGTGCGCCCTCAAAACCTGGGGGGAATCATCAAGACCGGCACCGAAATGAGGCGATGCCAACCTTAAGGGATGGGACAGGTCTTCAGGCTGAGAATACGGTGGCGTGGGGCGGGGGAGGAGAAGGAGGAGGAGGAAGGAGGAGGAGGAGGAGGAAGGAGGAGGAAGAGGAGAAGGAGAAGGAGGAGGAGGAAGGAGGAAAAAGGAGGAGGACATGCAAGGAAGGAGGAGGTGGGAGGAGCAGAAGGACGGGGAACCTGCCGTGAAAAGAAGTACCACATCGGAGGGCTTGGTGCCGAACGATTGGCCAGATTGAACCACCCAGAGGTTCCTCGAGGTTCTTCGAGGCCCCTGGAAAGTCCCGAGTCTCCAGAGCTCGCCCAGGAGGTTCCCCGAAATGCTCCGGAGGGCCCTGGAGGCCCCAGAGAAGCGCGAGAACGCCCGAAACGACATCAAAACTACTGGCCGAAAACCTGCGCACTCGAGTTGACGACCCGCCCCCGCCCAACAGACAGACAGAAAGACAATCAGATAGACAGACAGAAAGACAGACAGACAGACAGACAGACAGACGGGCAGGCAGGAAGGCAGGCAGGCAGGCAGGCAGGCAGGCAGACAGACAGAAAGACAGACAAACCAACTAACAAACATACATACAACTCACACACCCACACACACACAATGCAAAACAAAAACTATCCTGGCGAAGAACCAAACCAAGTGCAGTTGCGAGTACCATAGTTCCTCGTGCGACCATGAAGCATGCGAAGGGTGTGCCGATATGGGGCGGGGCCGCCATGTGGGCGCTGCCACTGGGACTTTCGGTGGATTCCACGATGGGGCCGCGAAACGCGCGAGGGGTGCGCCGCAGTTCGGCGGGGCCGCCACTGAGGCCGTCGGTGGAGCTCCTTATTGGGCAACGAAGCGCTGTACTGAGTGGGGGAGACGCATGCGAACACCGCCATTGGGGCCTTCGGTGAAGCTTCCTATGAGGCCACGAAACGCTGTACTGGGTGGGGGAGACGCATGCGAACACTGCCACTGACGCCGTCGACGGAGCTCCCTATGGGGCAACGACATGGTGTACTGACCGAGGGAGACGCATGCGAACACCGCCACTGAGGCCTTTGGTGAAACTCCCTACGGGGCCATCAAGCGCTGTACTGGGTGGGGGAAAACATGCGAACACCGCCACTGAGGCCTTCGTTGGAGCTCCCTATGGGACCAGTCGGCGCTATGATGAGTGGAGGAAACGCATGCGAACACCGCCACTGGGGCCTTCGTTGGAGCTCCCTAGAGGGCCACGAAACATTGTACTGGGCGGGAGAGACGTATGCGAACACCACCACTGGGGCCGTCGGCGAAGCTCCCAAGAGGGCCACGAAACATTGTACGGGGAGGGAGAGACGTATGCGAACACCACCACTGGGGCCGTCGGCGAAGCTCCCAAGAGGGCCACGAAACATTGTACGGGGAGGGAGAGACGTATGCGAACACCACCACTGGGGCCATTGGTGAAGCTCCCTACAGGGCCACGAAAGGCTGTACTGGGTGGGGGGGACGCATGCGAACACCGCCACTGGGCCTTGGTGGACATCCTTACGGGCCACGAAGCGCTGGGCTGGGTGGGGGACGCATGCGAACACCGCCACTGGGGCCTTCGGTGGAACTCCCTGTGGGGCCACAAAACGCTGTACTGGGTGGGGGAAACGCATGCGGACACCGCGACCTGGGCTTTCGGTGGAGCTCCCTATGGGACCAGTCAACGCTGTGCTGGGCGGAGGAAAAAGCAGACGGACACCGCCAATGGGGCCTTCGGTGGAGCTCCTGCGGGGCCACGAAAAATTGTACTGGGTGAGGGAAACGCATGGAGACACCGCGAGTTGAGCTTCCGGTGGAGCTCCCCATGGAACCGCGAAGCGCTGTGTGGTGGGTGGAGGAAACGCACGCGGACACCGCCAGTGTGGCCTTCGGTGGAGCTCCCTGTGGGGCTTCGAAACGGTGTACTGGGTGGGGGAAACGCGCGGGTTTCCGGTTAAAGGGGCCACGAAACGCTGTACTGGGTGGGTGAGGCGCATGCGAACACCGCCATTGGGGACTTCGGTGGGGCTCCCTAGAGGGCCACGAAACGCTATGATGGGAGGAAACGCATGCGGATACCGCCACTGGGGTTCTGGTGGAGCTCCTTATAGGGCCACGAAACGTTGTACTGGGTGGGCGAAGCGCAAGCGAACACCGCCACTGGGGCACTCGGTGGAGCTCCCGATGGGGCCAGGAAACGTGAAACTGGGTGAGGGAAAACGCATGCGGACACTGGAAACTAAGGACTTCGGTTGGGCTCCCTATGGGGCCACGAGACGCTGTACTGGGTGGGAGAAACGCATGAGAACGAAGACACTGGGGGCTTGGTGGACATCCTTACGGGCCACGAAGCGCTGGGCTGGGTGGGGGAGACGCATGCGAACACCGCCACTGGGGCCTTCGGTGGAACTCCCTGTGGGGCCACAAAACGCTGTACTGGGTGGGGGAAACGCATGCGGACACCGCGACCTGGGCTTTCGGTGGAGCTCCCTATGGGACCAGTCAACGCTGTGCTGGGCGGAGGAAAAAGCAGACGGACACCGCCAATGGGGCCTTCGGTGGAGCTCCTGTGGGGCCACGAAAAATTGTACTGGGTAAGGGAAACGCATGGAGACACCGCGAGTTGAGCTTTCGGTGGAGCTCCCCATGGAACCGCGAAGCGCTGTGTGGTGGGTGGAGGAAACGCACGCGGACACCGCCAGTGTGGCCTTCGGTGGAGCTCCCTGTGGGGTTTTGAAACGGTGTACTGGGTGGGGGAAACGCGCGGGTTTCCGGTTGAAGGGGCCACGAAACGCTGTACTGGGTGGGTGAGGCGCATGCGAACACCGCCACTGGGGACTTCGGTGGAGCTCCCGAGAGGGCCACGAAACGCTATGATGGGAGGAAACGCATGCGGATACCGCCACTGGGGTTCTGGTGGAGCTCCTTATAGGGCCACGAAACGTTGTACTGGGTGGGCGAAGCGCAAGCGAACACCGCCACTGGGGCACTCGGTGGAGCTCCCGATGGGGCCACGAAACGTGAAACTGGGTGGGGGAAAACGCATGCGGACACTGTAAACTAAGGACTTCGGTTGGGCTCCCTATGGGGCCACGAGACGCTGTACTGGGTGGGAGAAACGCATGAGAACGAAGACACTGGGGGCTTCTGTGCGAGCCCTATGGGGCCACGAAACGTTGTCCTGGGGCCTTGGGTGGAGCTCCCTATGGGGCCAAGAAACATATGAGGGGTGTGTCAAAATGGAGGGGGGGCGGCATGTGAACGCAGCCACTCGGAGGAGCTACCTATGGGGCCACGAAACGTCTGAGGGATATGCCAAACTGGAGAGGGGACGGCATGTGAACGCAGCCACTGGTGTTTTGGGTGGAGCTCCCTATGGGGCCACGGAACGTGTGAGGGGTGTGGCCTTGGGTGGAGCTCCCTATGTTTCCACGAAACGCGGGGGGACGGCATGTGAACGCAGCCACTGGGGCCGTGGGTTGAGCTCCCTATGGGGCCACGAAACGTGTGAGGGGTGGACCCAAGTGGAGGGGGTGAGGGGAGGAGGGGAGAGGGGGAGGGGGAGGAGGAGGTGGAGGAGGAGGAGGAGGAGGAGGAGGAGGAGGAGGAGGAGGAGGAGGAGGGAGGAGAGGAGGAGGAGGAGGAGGAGGAGGAGGAGACGCGGGGACCGTCTCTTCAAAACGAAGACCCAGCACCACAGGATGGTTGGGAACAAAAGAATGCGCTTCGCGACTGCCGGTCCTCGCCGATGGGGCGACCACCTGCGGCATCACGTCCGCGATCTGCGCAGGGCCGCCGCACACGATGCCCCACGGGCCTGGGCGGCGGCGGCGGCTGGGGCGGACGAGGAGGGCAGCGAATCGGCTGCACGCGGCCTGCGTTCCTGGCCCCTCCCGGCGCCAGCGGCGGCCGTGCATCGAGGAAGGAGGCCCGGCGCCACGGCCAGAGCCCGCAGTACGAAGCAGCTGTCGTACCCCCGCCCACATCCTCCTTTCCCACCCTCCCCCCTCGTCGGGCCCAAGATGAAAAGGAAGAGGAGGAGGAGGAGGAGGATCGAGGACTTAGCTTTCCGCGCGCTCTTACAAAGATTGGGCCTCCGCAGGCCTCCACAGGATGAAAACACGGCTGAGACCTGGTAAACTTCCCGGCGTGCCCGAGGAGGAGGAGGAGGAGGAGGAGGAGGAGGAGGAGGAGGAGCCACTCCCCGACGGCTGGGCGGCCCAGAAGTCGGGACAAGGTGCTGAGCCGCCACTATCAGCGGCTGGAAGCTTGGGAACCGCGAGCCTCCTCGCCCGAGCTTCCCCACCTTCCGGCCGCTCACGTGCCCCTGAATTGGCCCGCCCACTTCTCGCCCCACGAACCGACACCCACTGACTCTTGCGGCGGAGGGGACTGCTGAAGGCGCCATCATTGGGGGGGGGCAAGAGGGAACTCTCGCCGACGGCCGGCCTGTTAAGGCCAAGAGCGGCCACTGCCAACCGCCACGCGCCGCAGGGACCTCCAACCTACCGCCACTGGCCACTACCAGGGGTGGCGTGAACCTCCCCTCCGCCGGTGGGCATCCCCAGGACCGCTCCCCAACCCGCCCGTGAACACTCTCTGTCCGCCTCGGCAGGAAGCGGGTACCCTGGGCTGGCCAGGGAGCGGCGTCGCGCGGGGGGCCGTTGACTGGAGGTGAGAAGCCCTCACGCCACCCCACTTACGGCAACAGCGCCAGGGGCCGCTCAGCCGCACCGCGCGCCAGACCAGCCTCCCTGTCGACCTTCACCCTCTATGCTGACGGGCCCCAGACGCGACAGCCGCCAGCAGCTTAGGCAGCCAGCCTCCGCCGACAAGGTGGACGGCGTGCCTGCCTCACCACGCTTAGGCCCAGAGCACCAAGGCCAACAGGCTACGGAACAGAAGCGGTACCACTTGCGCCCCTCTTCTCTTTTGCTGCAACAGCTACCGACAACCCATGAAGAGCCATCTCAGCGCGAAAGCCACCGCTGCAGGCTTCGGCTCGCCAGCGAGAACACCACCGCTGTCAGCCGCACCGAGCCCCACCCTTCGCTCGCTCTTCATAGTCACTCCTCCTCGTCTTCGTCCCCCTTCCTCTCCCTTGGTGCGCGCTCGTGGCAGGGGCCACCCCTCGCGCGGGGGGCCTGGTAGACGGAGGGGGGCGAGCCACAGGAGGAGGCGAGGGCGAGGATCCTGTTAGGTTTTCTTGTGGTCCGTCCTCCCTGGCGGCACTGCGCCGCAGGGGAGTCGATTACCCCCCCCCCCCAGCAGCGACCGCTGACTGTGGGGGGAGGCCGCGCGCGGTGAACTCCATGGCCGTCGGGAACCAGGAACCAGGAGGAGGAGGAGGAGGAGGAGGAGGAGGAGGAGGAGGAGGAGGGGGAGGGGGAGGGGGAGGGGACGGGGGGGGAAAGGAAGAGGAGGGGACCTCACCACGGGGACGCCATGTCTCTGGAGCCCTGTGTGAGGGAGGGGCTGGCGAAGGACGGGCCCTTGCCCCGAAGGGCCCGGTGCCTGGCCCGCGCCATGACCGCTGGTGTGGCTAGGAGGGGGTGGACGAGGATGAGGACGCGGAGGAGGAGGAGGAGGAGGAGGAGGAGGAGGACGACGAGGAGGAGGAGGAGGAGGACGAGGAGGAAGAGGAGGAAGAGGAGAAGGAAGACGAGGACGAGGAGGAGGAGGACAAGGAGGAGAAGGAAGGAGGGCGAGGAGAAGGAGGATGACAACTGGTGTAAACCGCTTAAACCCAAGACTCATCAAGCATGTTGAAAGACACCCTCCCTCCAAGGTCCCTCTTCGCAGGCCCCTACAAGAGTCATTTCCACTGAAGGAACTGCCCCGTTGGGGGACAAGCGTGTGAACATCTGGAAGCGTGTCAAAGCACCATTCTCACGGCGTCATCGCCACTAGCTAACCTGGCTATTACTTCTTGAAGCCCCGGGACCGTGCCAGAACAACATCCCTGGGACTTCAACGCATCGAATCAACATACGTAGTTGTTGCGCCCTGGCAATTTTGAACCGCTCCACAACACCATTCCTGGTAGGTTGATCATGAGAACCAGTGAACTCTTGCAAATATGTCAAATTAGTGTGCGCAACGCTAAAGCGAGAGCTACAGTAGCAGAGGAAGCACCAACTATCCATGAAACTCCTGCAACGTTTTAAAACGAATGCGCGCTGCGCAAAAGCCAGGGCCACATGTTGGAAAAGGCCTGTCCTCACTCCGGGAAACTCTTGCAACTTCTTACAACGAACGCGCGCGGCGCTAAGGCGATAGCCACATTGTGAAAACGAGCCGCCCTCAATCCGCTCAAATGTTGCAACGTGCTGGAAAAACAAGCGCGGAGCGAACACAAGAGCCGCATTTTGAAAACGACCTGGCCTCAATCCGTGAAACCCGTTCGAAGTTCGAGCACGAGCGTGCGAAGCGCCAGAGCCAAAACTACATGTTGAAGACCACCCGCCCCCAATGCCCGGAACTATTGCACATGCTTGAAGCGAGTGTGCGCGGCGCTGAAGCGAGAGCCGCGTTTTGAAAACGGAAGGAGGAGGAGGAGAAAGAGGAGGAGGAGAAGGGACCAGTGTAAACCCAAGAGCCATCAACAATGTTAGAAGTAACCTTCCCTCCGAGCTCCCACTTCATAGGCCCCTACAGCGGTTCATTTCCATTGAGGAAACTGCCTCGTTGGAAGACAACCGTTTGAAGATCCTGAAGCATGCCAAAACAACGCTCTCGGGTTTTCAACGCCACGGATCAACCTGCCTGCTGCGTCTTGACGATCCGGAATCGTGCCAGAGAGCCATTTTCTGACCGCGAATCAACATAACTGCTGCATCCGCATGATCCTGAATCATTTCTGGTACGCTGATCATGGAAATCCGTGAAACGCTTGCAAATGTTTTAACGACTGCGCGCGGCGCTAAGGCGAGAGCCACTTGGAAAAGGAGCCGCCCTCAATCCGTGAAACGCCTGCAACTGTTCAAAACGAATGGGCGCGGCGCAAAGGCGAGAGCCACATTTTGAAAACGGGCCGCCCTCAATGCGTGAACCTCTTGCAAATGTTTGAAATCATTTTTGAGCGGCGCAAATGGCGAAAGCCACATGTTGAAAACGAGCCGCCCTCAATCCGTGAAGCTCTTGCAGGTGTTTAAAGCAGATGTGCGCGGCGCTAAAGCGAGAGCCGCATTTTGAAAACGACCTGCCCTCAATCCGTGAAACTCTTGCAAATGTTTAAAACGAATGCGCGCGGCGCTAAGGCGAGAGTCACAGTTTGAAAACAGCCCGCCCTCAATCTGTGAAACTCTTGCAAATTGTTTAAACGAATGTGCGCGGCGCTAAGGGGGAGAGCCTCATTTTGAAAACCATTCGCCTTTCATCTGTGAAACTGTTGTCATGTTGTACGCTTCAGAATCATATATGGTGAGGAGGTCTCAGGCGAAACGCGCAGCCCGCCCCAAAAAACTGGCCTCGGGGTGCGACGGGAAGAAGTTATCTATATGGAAAAGGAATGGAGAGGGAGGAGGGAAATGGAGAGGGAGGAGAGGAAGGAGAGGGAGGAGAGGGAGGAGAGGAAGGAGAGGGAGGAGAGCGAGGAGAGCGAGGAGAGGGAGGAGAGGGAGGCGAGGGAAGAGAGGCCCGCCCTCCATCTGTGAAGCTGCTGTCACTCCTTAGCATCCGGGTCATAGATGGTGAGGACGTCTGGGGCGAAACGCGCGGCCCGCCCTTTCGACCGGCCTCGGGGTGCGACAGGGAGGAGTTAATTACAAGGAAAAGGTGTGGAGGAGGGGTGGAGGAGGAGGAAAGGAGGAGGAGGAGAAGGAGAAGAACGGGGGAAGAGGAGGAGGAGGAGGAAAAGGAGGGGGAGGAGGAGGAGGAGGAGGAGGAAGAGGAGGAGGAAGAGGAGGATGAAGAGGAGGACTAGGCGGGGGAGGGAGGAGGTGGAGGAGGGAGGAGGAAGGAGGAGGGTAGAGGAGAGAAGGAGGAGAAGGGATGAGGGCAACGCGGTCGAGGACGACGACGGCGGCGGCGGGGACGGCGCGAAGGGCCGGGGGGGGCGGCGGTCCGCAGCAGCCCGTGACGCACACCCAGTTCGGGGAGCGCTGGGCCTGCCGGGAGGGGCCCTCCTTCTCCAGGAGCGCGGGGGGGGAAGCGAAGAGGGAGGAGAGGAGGAGGGAGCAGGGATGAGGGAGGAGGAAAGGGGGAGGAGGGAGGAGGGAGGAGGGGCAAGCTGGGTGCGCTCGGGCCGTGTCTGACATCCGACCCCATCCCACCCATCCCCTCCCATTGCGCTGTTGTATGTGATTGATGTTGTTGTTGATGGTGTTGTTGGTGGTGTTGTTGTTGGTGATGTTGTTGGTAGTACTGTTGATGTTGTTGCTGTTGTTGGCGTTGTTGGTGTTGCTGTTGTTGTTGCTGTTGCTGGTGTTGTTGCTGGTGTTGTTGGTGGCGTTGGTGGTGTTGATGTTGCTGTTGTTGTGGTGGTGGTTGTTGGTGTTGTTGCTGGTGGTGGTGTTGTTGGTGTTTATCTCTCTCTTCTCTCTCTCTCTCTCTCTTTCCAACAAGGCGTGTCGAATAGAGAGAGAGAGAAGGATGTTCATCAGCTATTCCCTGGGGGCGAGACCAATCCGCGCTCAGACTATCACGTGCAGGAGGAGGAGGAGGAGGAGGAGGGCACAAGAAGTTACCAGAACCCGTTGGAACCCCGTAGTTTGTTTTAACATACCCAAGTGCCCTCCCTCCTCCACCCTCTCTCTCTCTCTCCTCCTTCCACCCCGCTCTCCCCAGACGGCGGTGGGGTTCCAGACGAGCGCGCCAGCCGAGCCGATCCGATCCGATCCTTCAATTGCAGGAGGTTGCGACGGAGGAGGTACAGAAGGTAGAGGAGAAGAAGCAGAAGGAGGAGGACAACGAGGAGGAGGCAAGATTGATGCACTCGCGCCATATCGGACATCATGTTCCTCCCCCCCATCCTTTACCAAGGAGATGGGTCTCCCGCATTCGCAGACTCGAATGTCGAAGAAGGCGTGGCTCCCGAAAGGGCAGCTGGACCCTAAAGTTCATGAGATGGAAGGACATGAAGAAGCTGGTGGAGAACTGCGAGAGGCATGAAAGGCGGAGGGGCGGAGGAGCGAAGAGGGAGGAGGAGAAGAAGGAGGAGGAGGAGGAAAAGGAGGAGGGAGGAGGAGGAGGAGGAGGAGGAGGAGGAGGAGGAGGGAGGAGGAGGAGGAAGGGCAAGGGAGGAGGGGGAAGAGGAGGAGGGCTAGATGCGGGGTCCATCCCCCACACTCGCCCGCGCGCGCCTCGCGGCGCGCCCCACAGCTGGCGGCAGCCGGCGCTTTCATACCTCTGCGAAGCGATAAACCAAGACCTCCAGGCTGAACCTCAAGATGTACAGGCTGAACCTCAAGATCTACAGGCTGAACCTTAAGATCCTTAAGATCTACAAGCTGAACCACAAGATCTACAGGCCGAACTTCGCGAACCACCAGTGCTTCGAGTTACCCCACTATTTGAGGAGACCTACCGGCAGACGACATGCCGAGACTGATTTCCGAGACTGAGGGCAGCGGCAGCTCTCAAGCAAATGGGCTACTGCGCAAGACACGGGCTCCAACCAAACCCAAAGGACATCATGATTGTCACCTCTGCCGCCTGCAACAGTGTATCTGGCTACGCCAGCGCCGCCACGCATATGAAATATGACGAGCTGCGTACCAAGCAGCTAGTACTCGAAGGACAAAGGTTGCGTGACGGGCGGCTAGGTTCTGAAGGTCATCATGGCAGCGGCGACCGCAGACACGGCAACTACGACTGCGAGAACGGCAAGCATGACCGCGAGAACGGCAACTGTGACAGCGACCGCACGATGAGTTTGTTGACCTCAGCTGCGAGGTCAGCCTCCAGCTTGGCACGCCATTAACATATCGATATCTTGTTCACTGGCGTCTGGCCGAAAGTAGAGGGCACGCTCGCGTCAGGAGGGCCTACAAGATACAAAATGTGTGCATGTGCCGGATGACCCGATCTGTTGTCTGCGCTGCAGCTGCCGGGTGCAAAATACTTTGGGGGGCCTGGGGGAGCTCAGCGACATGCTTCCAAAGCTCGTGCATCTGGCTCGCCGTGGAACTCTCATGGACCTGTGGGGGCCTCACGGCGAGCGGCGCCTCCCGGCGCCCGCCAGCATCGCCGGCGAGCACGCCGCCGCGGCCCCCGAAGAGGGCTGCGGCGGGGGGGGCGAGGGCGGCGCGGCACGTGGCAGCAGCGACGCCCGCAGAGAAGGGGCCGCGGGAGCCTTTGGGAGGTGCACGGCCAACACGCCTGTCCTCGGCGGAGGCAGTCCTACAGGGCATGTGTAAAGATATCGGATGTTTTAAATTTCGGATGTTTCATACATGATTCATTATGGAAGAATTTACGCATGAACACATCGTTGTTTTTAGTGCTAAATCCCTGCATGTTTAATACATGATCCGCACGCGGAGCATGTATAAAAAAACGGCACTGTATGTAGGGCCGCGCACAGAGAGTCTGCGGCGCGCCTATCTCTCTCGGCGGCGAGTGCGTGCGCAGCGGAGTGGGGGTCCGTATGGTGCAGCTCAGCACGGCGGAGCCGCGCACACTGCACTGGCCGGCGGATTCGAAGCAACCCGAGGTCTGGAGCACGGACCATCCGAGAGCTCTCCAGGAACTCCTGAGCGGGGCCCTTAAAAAGCCCCCCCATGACCTCCGGGACCAAAGACGAGCCCAAAACAAACAGCGTCGACACACAGCTGGAACTCGTTGCCGGTGGCTCCCGCTCCCCGAAGACGATTCGGAACGAACACGTTGGTGGGGAACTTGTAGGGCACAGGCTTGGCTCCCTTAGCATTCAAGGCCAGGCCAGCAGCGCGGGCTCGAAGACTGGAAACCTTCAAACCGATGGAATAACAGGCGTCGATATCTTGGGCCACCAGACCCGCACCCTCAGCAAACACTACGAGGGACGCTTCATCGCGGGGCAAACGCGAACCATCATACGAATGAGCGGGTCAAGCACAAGGCAGAAGACCGACCCGCTGCAAGGACACCCTTGCTGGACACCGCGACGGACCGAGAACGGGGCTTTCGCATGCCCGCAGAGCGCCACCTGCACCGAAATATTCTGGCACAGCATGACCAGCGCGTGCAAAACATAGGCGGGGAAGCCCACGCTGTTCAAAAAAAGAAGAGGGAGCGCAGCACAGACGGGAAGGTGAAACGAATGTCGACAAAGACGCAGCCCGTCTTATCGGCTTCTAGCTGACACACCTTCGACATTGTATGGCTATCCAATTCAAAAATGTCTGCTACAACCTTACTCTTCATGGCATTAGTTTCGACAAACACGCCTGATGGGGGCACCCAACGCGAGGGCGACGATCTCATCATCGGCATTGTTAAGAAACAGAGGCCGCGCATCTCCAGAGAGCCTCTGAACAAGTTCAATACCACGAGTACCTACAGGTATAACAACTCCCAGCGAACAACTAAAACCTTCAGGCGGATGGCCGAAGTCTGGGATATCCAGACATGAATTAGGCAGCGCATCCAGGGCAGCGAGGCCCGCGCGGGCCCAGGCGAAATACGGCAACCCATCGGGGCCAACCCCGGAGTCCCGAAGGCGATTGACCAACTACTGAAATTCGGCCTTCTCGAGATTCCAGAGAAAATAGCCTCTGGCACAGGCTGGATAAACGGCTCACTGCTTGCGGCGGCGGCAACGATAATGGGCGCGTCCGCATGCACAGACCCCCTATGCCGAGCAAGACGTGCAGCAGCAGCGTCTGGATCGGCTCCGCAATGCCCGGTCATCTAGAATACCAGCAAGCGGGATCTGGCGATTCTGGGAACCCCATTCCGTATAGTACTGCGATCTCGGAATCGATCGAAGACGTCGAAAGCGAGCCAAGGAAAGCGCGCAAACCAGCCTCGCCAAGCCACGCGCAATCGATAACACTGACGTATTTGCGGAGGCTGGAGAAGGTCAGGGGAGAGCGCGATACCTTAGAGATGTTCCTAGAAGCCACGCCTCGAATACAATGCCGTTATCAAAGTTTTGACCATCCCGTCGACGAGGCCCCCCCTCCCCCCGTAGAATCCTACAACATGGCATCCGCCTGTGGCGGAGTAGGTTTCGGATCCTGCCCACCCCGCTTCTCCTTACTAATGTAGACTTATTACGGTGTGAAAACTTACTCCGCACGTTTTTTTCTCATGGATTAGCTTACTCCGCGGTCTTGTTGAACTTGCTCCGCTTCATCTTTAAGCAGAGGAAAACCTACTCCGCGTCCCCTGAAACTTACTCCGCCTGTGTTTACGAGGCTGCGCGACCTCAGATCTTGAGGGACACTTGCCCTCTCTCAATTTACCCGAGGGCGCGCGGCCGCAGGTCCGCGCGTGCCATTTGGAAGAATGGCCAAAAGTTCTGACAACGGCAAAGTACGTGCTATTGTCTCCGAAATTCCTCAGCAACAGAGGTAGCCACTCGTTGGCAGGCTTAGTGCATCAGCTTCCTGGAAGCAGCACGGAATATCTACGCGCTGTTGTACACCACCGTTCAAAAGGTCGCCGGCACCGAGCTCGTCGGCGGTCTCCGCCACTTGAACATGGCAAAGAGGGTCACGCGTAACCCGTTTCGGAAACCTGGTGGAGACGAGGGAACCAGGACCAGAGCAACGGGGACGCGGTCCGATGGACTGGCGGGGCCGAAGCCGCCCCCGATCGCAAAACTCCTGGGCTGGAGGTCGTGGATCCCGGCAGAAAGGAGGTCGGCGTAGATATTGCCATTCTACCCAGGGACCTTTACCTGCCTATGCGCCCAAACTGGGCGCACTGAACCAACTGCGCCGCGGCGAGCGCGCCGAGGGAAGAGTGAAAATGCCGAGCAAAAGGTGCTTCAGCGTGTCGAACAGTTCCCGAGAGGTCGCTCCAGCCTTTTCCGCAAAGCTGAAAACTGAAGTCGCCGAATATAAAATGAGGCACACACGCTGGGGCTCTTGAGGGCGCAGTTGACTTGATTGAGCATCTGACACTTCCTGTGGCTTGGGGGGCTGAGGGTCGAGGTGGAAGTTGACGACTTTCAGAGCATCCAGGGGGCTTGCGCAGACTTACATGCGCAGACCGCCTTCGACCAACTGGGCGTGGTCGAACAGCGTGTAACACTGGCGCCAGGACGGGAGAGGAAGATGTCGTTCCCGCCAGCTACTGAAAAGGTACAAAAGGTGCCCCAGCCACCAGCGCCTTCACGTTGGGATACAAATAGTTCAAGATCTCCCTGTTGCCAATGGGATTCCTGGAGACAAGCGGTGACAAACCTTTTCACGAACTCATCGAGATGTAAAACCGCTCGTTTCTGCACATCGGTGCCAGCGTGAACGGAAGCGAACCACGTGTGAACATTCCAGAAACCATGGACATGGTTTCGTCATACTGAGCGGACACCGCGAGGAAGGAGCTTTGGGAGTCCGAGAACTCGGCGTAGAGGGCGCGTGATGCAGACGGCATGGCCCTCGTCCTCAGAAGCCGCCTAGAGGTCGTAGGCAGCTTCGCCAGCGATTTGGAATGAAATGCCACGAAACCTGTTGGAGCCTAGCTTCATTCCCTCGACCCAGAAGCCCTTGCTTTTGAAAAAATGCATGGTGGACTGCCAGAGCGAACCCAGGATCTTGTTGCGGCGACGGACATCCTTGAGCGCGTCAATGCGCGCACGAATGGAAACCTACGACTGCGAAGCATTGTCACTGTACACGAACATGTTGGGGTTGTCGCGCGACCGCTGGACGAAGTCAGCAGCCTGCTCGAAGGAGGCGAACTTCATGAAAGAGCCCTGGTTGAGGTTTAAAAAGCGGGTGGCGACCTCGTCGCGCTCATGCATATGCAGGCCGGTAACTCGGCGGTGGACAGACCTCCCTGTAGTAAACCTCCCCATAATGAAAACGGCCTGGGACCGAAACCGACGGACCTGGACCCGCAAAAATGACGGCCGCGACGCCCTCTCGCGAACCGAAAACGGCCAATTCCTTTATCGACGTGTCAGGGTAGGAGGTCTATCCACCTCCGAGTAACACAAAACGGAACGGCCGAAGTTACCCATGGAAACGGCAAGCGTCTTGCGGACAAGCCCTCCGATCCAAACTTTCTGAATGTCACAATCGGCCTGGAGGCAATCTTGAGGTCGGGCCGAAGAACCAAAAGATGAGGAAACGCGACTGCGCTTGGAACCTCCGCTGGTTGTGGAGCTGGCCGCAGGAAACGTACGGCTGGTACCGGATTCACAAGTGAGAAGGCGTGCTTCGAGTTGCTGACTGATGCCTACGTTCTGGGCTGCCTGCAGCGCGGAGAGCGCCCTCTAATTAGCGGTGCCACTATCGTGTTGCAGGGCTGCGAACTTGTTGTCGTGCTCGGTCTGCTGGGCTCTGGTGGCGGTGATGCATCAGGGCTCTTATTCAACGCTCGGTAACTCCCCCGTCATCGACTTCATCTCCTAGCGCGGCATGCCGAGCTGAGCCTCTATCGCAACGCACTGAGATGCTACGTTACGCAACAAAATGAAGCGGGGCAGCGGAAAGGAATGGAACCCTCAGCCGCTGAGCAGCTCGCAGAGAGGATCGTGCGGCTGAGGCCTCTCCTCGGGAAGTGGGACGCTGAGCCTTCCCCTCGGCTGCGTTCAACCTCGATGCGCCAGGGACGCGTGACGAACTTGAGCCAAACTGGCTACGGAGGAGGAGGAGGAGGAGGGGGGAGGTAGGGGAGGGGGAGGCGGAGGGGGGAGGGGGAGGCGGAGGGGGGAAGGAAAAACAGAAGGAAGGAAGGTGGAGAGGGAGGAGATAGGGAGGAGCAGAGGGGGGAAGAATCAGAAGAAGAAAAAGAGGCGCAGAGGCAGCACGAGGAACACGAGGACTCAGCGGGTCGTCCCTACGACCGCGCAAAGCTATAAGAAAGACCTCTGAAGACCCCAACTATGGCCAGATGTGTTGTCAGCAAAGATAGTTGAGCATGACTTCATGCGACCTGCTCGGGGCGAGCTTCCTGCCACATCGCTGGCAACGCAATGTGCGCTGAAACCGAGCCAATTCGACTGGAGTGGGCGACCATGGCAGCAACGCCGGCAACAACGCTGGCAGCGCGAAGTGTCTGGAAGTGAGCTGACATGCTCATACTGAATTTCCTCCTGGCACCGCTAGAAACTCGATGCGCACAGGCCGCAGACTGGCAGCAACGCTGGCAGCGCTCTCTTGTGCGCGTCCGATGCGAGCCAGCATTCTAGGAGTGAGCTTCCAGCCAGCAACGCTGGCCAGCGGATGTGCGCTGGACGCGACCCAGCACTCGTGGCAACAACGCTGCCAACACAACGTGCGCTGGAAGCAAGCCAGCACTCTGAAAGTGCACGTTCCACCGACTTCGCTTTCAACGCCGCGTACTGTCATCGCGCTACCAGAAGGAACGCTGAATAAAGAACGCGGGGGCTTTTCTGGCCACTGCGAGCCTCGGCTTCGAATAGGTTCCCTGACCAAGATCTAAGGAAAGGCCCCAAAAAAACAGAGCCCCTCCTGAGCTTCGTGGCCAAAGCGATGTGCGCTGGCACCGAGCCAGCTCACTCGAAATGGCTCGTTCCGTCGAATTCGCTTTCAACCCGACCTGCTGCTGGACTCAAGTCGGCACGCTCGAGGTGACTTCCAAGCTGACAGCGCTGGCGGCACGATGTGCGCCGGACGCGACCCAGCACTCTGGCAGCGAGCTTCGTGGCCACAACGCTGGCATTCCAACGTGCGCTGGACTCGAGCTGGCACGCTCGAAGCGAACTTCGAGCCGACCTCGCTCTCAGCCCACCCCGCTGCTGGACGCGGCAGGCTCGGAGTGAGAACGCTGGCAGCTCGACGTGCACTGGAAGAGAGCCCGCACGCTCGCGAGGCTCTCGAGAGGAGCATGGAAGGGGCACGGGATGGGCCGTGGCCCAGGGCACCTGTAGACAGGGGGCTATTCGGCAGACGACGAGATGGCCCCAGGCAAGCCAAGTTAAAGAAACACGAAGAAGAGAACAACGAAGAGGAGGTCAAGATCTTCTTAACATTTGTGTCCGCATGGGTGCGTGCCAGGCGTCATCGTATCCCAGCTGGACGCCCCATTGCGTGGCTGATCGGTTCGAGCAGCTCATGTACAATTACGGATGATTGGACGACAACCACGCCCAAGGTGGCATGTAGGTAGAACAGTTGCACATTCACAGCTTCAAGTCGTGCCCAGGGTAATGTGTGTAAAACTCACCAGCACCGCACAGACGACAGCCTGGCCACTGGCCATGGACATATTCGGCCTGAGCGGCGCCGCTCGTGAGCGGAGCGCAAGAGAAAAGCGATGGGGAGCGAAGGGAGGCGGAAGTGATCCAGGGGGAGAAGCGGAGAGCGAGACTGCCATGGAGGAGAGGGGTCTCGAGGGACACGGGTCCTGAACCCTGGGGCTTTCCCTGCGGCCAGCTGTTCATCCCGAGCCGTTTTTGGTGGTCCCGGGGCCCGATGGAAGGCCCCGACGGCCCGAAGGCGGCGAGAAGCCTAGGAGGCCCTGTTCACCCTGGGCCAGCTTGCTGCACGGCGACCGGAGGGAGGGAGAGAGAGAGAGAGAGAGAGAAAGCTAGGGCTCCCAACTTCGCGCTTCGCGCTGCGCGAAGCGCGAAGCGCGAATAACTTCGCGCTCTCGCGCCGCCCTCCCAAAGGGAGAATAGGAGGACGAGGAGGAGGGGGAGAAGGAACGAGGACCGCGAAGCGCGAAGCGCGAATAACTTCGCGCCCTCGAGGGAGCCCTTGAAGATGCACCCGTGCAGTGGAACCCTCACGGGTCGGTCGGTGCACGAGCCCGTGGCTCTTGCAGAGCGACCGGGGGCGGGGGTGAATCGGAGGAGAGCCGCGTGAGACAGCAGCGGTGAGACCACGGTGGCCCGAGTCCACGCCGAAGCGGTCCCCGGGCGCACCCGTTCTCCAAGCTGCGTCCAGCTGTGGCGACGGAGGGGTCCCCCGGGGGCAAGAAGAAGAAGGGGCCCGTGCCTCAGCGCGCTCTCCTCCGGAGCGAGGAGGCAGGAGCGCCGGGCAGGCAGGCGCCGGGTGGGCAGGGCGCGAAAGGCCGCTGCGCCGCCGCGCAGCGGTGCGCGGGCGGCGCGGCGGGGCGCAGGCGCTGCGCCGAGGGAGAGCCGCAGCGCAGCGCTCTGCTCAGATCGACGACCGCGTGCGCTCGACTGCCCCGAGCCAGGGCCCCGCTGAGCGCTGAGCGGGTCGAAGCACCTGAGGGCGCCCAGGGAGACACCAGGAAGCAGACACGACTTCCAGAAGTTCCCCACATCTTTCCATATGTTATTGATTTTCGTCTTCCCCTCCATTTCCCATATCTTCCCATATTTCCCTGGAGATCGACATTTATTTGTGTCTGTGCCTCTTTTCATCCCTGAGCACCTCAGTTGCACTTGCGGAGGAGCTCCCGGCTGCGGTCGGCCTTGCCAGCACGCCCCTGGCAAGCAGCTACGACCTCGCGGGCTCAAAAAACTCTGAACCGAAAAACCTTGCCATCTCTTCTGAGGCAAGTTTGTACTTCCGCCGGCGGAGGCGCCCTCGTTTTATACCTCCGCCACCTTCCGCCAGCCTTCCGCCACCTGCCGCCAAGGAGGTGATATCAACTCCTTCGAGCCTCCAAGACGAAACCCTCTCTTAAATGCCCCACCTGGTACACGGCGGCCGGCACCACTGCGTACTTCTCCATTTCTGCGAGCCAGTGCTCAGCCTTGTCGAGCTCGCCGTTGCGGGCGCACCTAGATATGAGGCTGGTGAAGGAGTTTGGGTTCAGGTTCCTGGTGTGCTTGAGGGCCTCATTCAGCCAGTGCTCTGCCCGATCGAACTGGCCAGCATGGGCGCAGGCCTGGATGACGGAGTCATGGCAGAAGGCGCTGAAAGGCTCGCCTGCGTTGCACATCTCGCGCAGCCAGTGCTCCGACCTCATGAGCTGGTGAGATTTGACGCACGCGTGGATGACCGTGGAGTAGCTTACGCTGTCCGGCGAGATCCCCTTGCTCCTCATGCACTGCAGCCACTGCTCCGCGCGGGCGCACTCGCCAGCTTTCGCGCACGCGTTGATGACAGAGTTGTAGGAAAGCACGCTGGGCTCACAGCCAGCACCCTCCATCTTGGACAGCCATCCCTCAGCGCGGTCGGCATCGCCAACACGAGCACAGACATTAATCAAGGTGTTGTATGTGATGGCGTTTCCGTGGACGCCGGCACTGGTCATGCGAGCCATCCATGCCTCCGCCCGAGTCAGATCGCTGGACTTGGCGCACGCGTGGATGACTGTGGAATAGCTTACCACATCGGCCTCGATGCTCCTGTCGAGCATGCGCTTCAACCACTTCTCAGCCGTGTCGGCATCCCCCTTCTTCGCGCAGGCGCTGATGAGGGCGTTATACATCGAGAGAGTAGCCTCCAGCCCAAGCTTGTGCATCCTCTCCACCATGGCCTCGATGCGGGAAATGTCGCCAACCTTGACAAGCGAGTGCAGGATCGTGCCATAGGTCTTCAGATTCGGCACCAGGCCAGCCTCCTCCATTGCGACAAGCCAGTGCTCCGCGCGGACGGCGTCGCCCGCGCGGTTGCAGGCGTCGATGCAGGTGGTGTAGCTCACGGCGTCAGCCTCGCAACCGTGCGCTGTCATCTCCCGGAGCCAGCGCTCGGCGCAGTCCACGTTCTTCACGCGAGCACTCGTGCCGATGAGGGCGTTGAAGGTGACCACATCTGGCTCGAGCCCAGCCCGCCTCATCTCCTCGGGAAGGCCGAAAGACTGCGCAGAAGTGGGCTTTTAGAGGCCCGCGCAGTTTCCCGAGGTCAGCGCCGACCCCCCTCCCCCCACGCCTCACCTCCTGGGCGGCGCATTCGGCGCCACCCGTGGCGCGCTCCGCGCGACCGGGAAGGGGTAGGGAGTCGGGTGTGGCACCGACCTGAAAGGTCCGCGCAGACATCCGAAAATTCATGCCCTTGTGCCGGTTTTTGGCTCTCGAGTCCTGGTACCTCGCGTTCGCGCCAGCCTCGTCCCCAGTCCTGGTCGAGGCCTTGATCGCGGTGTTGAAGCTGACGCGGTCCGGGACGACTCCGTGCTGTTTCATAAGCTCGAGGCACTGGCTGGTGCCAGCCACATCTCCGTTGCGCGCGTACACGTTGATCAGCAGGTTGAAGCAGACCGTGCTCGGCGAGATGCCCTTGTCCAGCATCGTCGTGAACCACTTCTGCGCGCGCTGGCTGTCGTTACAGCGATTGCACGCGCACAGCAGCATGTTGTAGCTGACCACATCGGGCTCCACGCCCTCTCGGATCATCCGCAGCAGCCAACGCTCCGCGGCCTCCACGTCCCCCGACTTCGCCAAGCGGTCCATGACGCTGCTGTAGGTGTTCACTGTGGGCTGCACCCCGCGCGCCACCATCTCGTCGATCCAGTGCACGACGCGGCCCACGTCGCCGCTGCGAGCGCAGGCGTGCACAACAGCGTTGTAGCAGATCGCGTTGGGCTCCACGCCGTCCTGCGCCATCTGCTGAAGCCACCACTCGGCACGCCTCATGTCTCCGGCCTTGGCACACGCGTGCACCACGGAGCTGTACGTGACGACGTTGGGCGCAAGGTCGGTCTTTCGCATCGCCTGCAGCCACCACTCTGCGCGCTTCGGGTCGCCCACGCGCGCGCAGGCGTCGATGACGGCGTTGTAGCTCATGCAATCCGGCTCCACCTCGAGCTCCGGCATCTTCAGCAGCCACTTCTCCGCGCTGGCCACGTCGCCCGCCTTCGCGCACGCGGAGATCGCGATGTTGAAGCAGATCGCGTTGGGCCTGCCAACGCCACTGGTGGTGAGCTCTGTGAGCCAGCGCTCTGCTCCGGGGGCGTCGCCCGCCTTTGGAAGAAGAAGACAAGACATAAACAAAAACTGTCGGAGGTCTGCGTGGATTTCTTGGATCGGCGCGGGACCCCCTCCGTGGCGCGCGGAGCGCGCCAGGGGCAACGCTGCAGGCGCCGCCGCGAAGGTCAGGCGCCGATCCAAGAGGAGATCCGCACGGAGTTCCGAAAGCTGCTCCGAGTCGCTCAATGAGTTTGGGGGGTACATCGCGTGGGGGGTAAGAATGGGCTGTCCTTCGCTGGGCGGGGGAGAGGATCGCGATCGTGGAAGGAAGGTGCTGGCTTGAACCACTCGGAGCAGGCTTGTTGTGCCGCCTCCTCTTCCTCGAGCCTTGGCGTAGGCGTTGACCAGCAGCCCCAGGACCACCACCGACAGCGGCGTGCCCGCCGCCTTCATCTGCCTCACGATCTCCTCGGCGCGCTGCAGGTCCCCAGCTTTCACGGCGGCATGCAGCTTGGAGCCGCTGGCCTTTCGGCTTGGACGGGAGGGGGGGGGGGGGAAACGGACCTCCACCCCCACCTGGACGACGAAAAGAAGCGGGTCTCGCCCAGATGGCATAGCCACCTTACGCGGTGGCTTGCGCGGGCCGCAAGCGCGGCACAGCACACTGGAAGCGAGGGCGCTCACGCGCGACCTCACGCGGGCAGCTTACGCGCGAATGTCGGCGCAGCTGACCCCGTTTTTTCCGTCGCTCACCTGGCCCCGCATCCCCCCATACCCGCCTGGCTCGTCCGCCCCACCCCTCTCTAGGGGGAGGCGGGCCAGGTGGGGGTGGGAGAGCTCTTCTGCTCCCCGTGGGGGGGATAGCAAAGCGGCGGCCTAGCGAATCAGCTCACGTGGCCGGTCTTCCTGGCGCCCCTTCCGGCGCCGAGAGCAACCACGTATCGAAGAAAGCGCTGGGCGGCGGGGCCGAAACTGGCTGCACGCAGCAGAGATGTCGCACCCCTCCAGTCGCGACAAAATGCAACATCGAAACGAAATTCGACCAGGGCCCTGTGCCGTGTGCAGGATCTTTCTGCTGCAAGTGTCGAGCCGGATCGATCCGTGAGGGCCCCAGGACCCGAAACAACGCAAAATCGCCCCACCAGGATCTCAGGGTTTGCCGTCCGACCCGAGCCTTGGTCTCCTCGCCCTCCATCGCCTGGTCGATCAGGCGCTCGAAGGAGTCGTCCTGGGGAATCCAAAAAGATACCGAAATCGCCACTGCCCAGACCTTTCCCAGGACGCCTCCTGTCCAGAATTTCGAAGCGAATCCAGCAGCGGCGACGAGGGCCTCCCAGGATGCGCCAAATAAGGCGAAGAAGGGACAAGGGCGCCGGTATTGGCACCTTTTCCTCCTCCAAGAACCACCAGGCGACACCAGCTCGGCGGCTGGGGCGGGCCACCCCAGGCATCCAGCATCTCGACTTCTTCGAAACATGGGCCACGACCTCTCGACCACTTCCCTGGCACCGGTTTTGCATGCCGAGTCGGAGCGTCAATGTCCCAAGGGAGCGTTTGCTTAGCGTGTCGCAGCGGCGGCCCAGGCAACACGCTACGCCCTGCAAGCGGATAACCGCGAAGGGCTGGAATGTTGAGAACCAGCCCCTAAGCTCTCGGCGGGAAATAGAAACTCGTCCGTCCCTCCTCCTTCCCCTCCCTCCTCCTCCTCCTCCTCCTCCTCCTCCTCCTCCTCCTCCTCCTCCTCCTCCTCCTCCTCCTCCTCCTCCACATCCTCCTCCTTCTCTCCGTAGCCACTCTGGCTCATGATGATTGGTTCCACAAGGGAGCGCGTGGAGACCGCTAGTCCGCGGTTGTCAAGACTCCTTGGAGCCTGGCAAAATGTTGCTCACACCTCGGTCGGGGGGGCGGGTAAACGGAGGCGTTCCCTGTTCCTGCACCCCCGAGCGCTCCAGTCATGGGAAGCCAGGGCGGCGCAGGCGGGAAGCAGAGGCGCGACTGGACGTGCGAGAGATGCACCAACCGCCGCACGGGGAAGGCCCTGCTCACCTGGGGCAGCAGCCTCAAGTCCCACGGTTGCCGCTTGCACGAGAAGGACGTGTTCGGCGAGGTCGCTGCGCACGCGGAGCCGCCGAGGGCAAGATTGAGAAGGCCGAGCCGAGGGGAGCAAGACCCCGCAGGGCAAGATTGAGAAGCTACTCGACGCTGCGCAGAAGGAGCTCGCAGACATCAAGAAGGAGCGGGCCAGCGGCAAGTCGCCGCCTTGGCAGGAAGCCGCCGAATGCAGCGAGTCCATGGAGACGGACGACTCGGACTCGGGCAAGATCGACGCCGAGATCGAGCAGCACCTCTGCGACCTGGCTACGCTCAAGGGCAGCGACAGTGGGTGGGTCCAGGAGAGGGTGGCCACGCTCAACGTGGAGCTGGCCGACGCGAAGAAGAGGCAGATGGAGCGCAAGCCGCTGCCCAAGCGCGCCCAGGTGCTGGCCAACAAGGTCAAACAGATGGGCGAGAAGGTGTCCAAGGCGGAGACCGCCAGGGACGCGGCCAGGGATGCCCTGGGCGCGGCCCAGATGGTCCTGGACGACAAGGAGGAGGCCTACCAGGAGCTCCACACGCTGCACGTGGAGATGGAGGCCGAACTCGAGCGCCTGCAGCAGCTGCTGCCCACGGCTCCAGCCACGCAGGCGCCAGGCACGGCTCTGGCGCAGGAGCTGGTGCCAGGACCCGGCCTCACCATGGGCGAGCTCTCGCAACTCGTTGCGACGCAGCTGGGTGCGCACGCGGGCGAGGAGCAGCCCCTGCCGCACGCGGCGAAGGCGAATTTGACGGAGGGGCTCAACAGGCGCATCACGGAGCTCGTCGTCAAGCAGCGGCCCAAGGGCGGCGATGAAAAGGCGGGGGCTGGGCAGCAACCTCACGGCTCACAGGGGGCAGCAGAGGAAGCAGCCCCATCGCGCGACTTCGTCGCGCAGGCCCGCTGGGGGCTCGACAAGCTCGAGGAGTCGGAGCTCCGCGAGAAGATGGCCAGGTTCTCCAACCCAGACGAAGACACCGCCAAGGTACGGAAGTTGGCCAAGGCGATGGCGCCGGGCTGCTTCGCGCCTCATTGAGCTCCTCGGCCTCATGGCGATGGTCAACTCAACGGCAGCCCTCAAGTCTAAGGGCACCATCACGTCGATGAACGTGACTTCGCGGGGCTCGATTGGGCTTTGCGTCGAGACGCTCGGCAGCGACACGTACGTGATCCTGCTGCAGGAGCACCACATCCTGGACCCCACGAAGCTCGCGGCGGCGCAGAGGGAGATGCAGGATTTCGGCTTCGACGGAGTCTGGATTCCAGCGGCGGCCTCCCCTGCCATCCCTGTGACGGCGCCGCCGCTGCTCGCCTCGCCCGTCCTGCTCGAGGGCCGCATGCCGGCCGCGCACGTTCACTGGGGCGCGCGCGGCGGCCTGGTGATGATCTCTGTCTACCTGGTCGACAGCGTTGGGTTCAACGTCGTCAACACAAGGATCTTGTTCACCCTGCTGCGCTACTTGGCGCAGCTCAACGCCGCGGGCTACGACTGGGTCGTCGGCAGCGATTTCAACATGGCGCCGGAGCTGCTCGAGCCTGAGTGGGGCGAGGAGGCCAACGGCATCTGGGCGGTGCCCGAGCAGACCACGCGCCGCCCGCAGTTGGAGAACGCGTCGGCGATCGACTACTTCTTCGTCCCAGGCCAACTTGGGCCCGAGGATCTTCGAGCCGACCGCGCGCGAGCAGGGCACCACGGCGCCCCACCTACCGGCGCAGCTTCGGCTCGTCGGGCAGGACATGAAGATCTTGGTCCGCGTCCCTGTGGCGCCTCGCCCCATCCCAGCGGCAGCGCCCATTGGCTGCGCGCGAGGCGAGGCGGACTGGACCAAGCCGTTGGCCAAGGTCATGCAGGCGAAGGAAGCATACCAGGACGGCGCGGGGGGGAAGTGCGTTAAAGCTCCCCAAGGCACACGATATCCCGACGCGAGCAACGACCACGCGCAGCAGCTGCTAGCGCAGGCTTGAGACGCCGTGCTGGACACCGCCGAGCAGGAGCTGCTGGACCGCTACGATAAGGTGGGAAAGCAGAGGCACAGGTACGTCGGCAGGTCAGGCGGCCTGGCGACGGCCCTGCGACCTGCCATGTGGCGACCGCCTGCGCGTCGGGCGCGGCTCGGCCCGCTCGCTGGAGCCTGCCGCGTCGCGGCGAGGTGGCCGCGTCACTTGATGGGCGCCAGCGCGTTCATCGCCAAGTCGCTGCGCCACCTGAAAGCGTCTGACGCGGCGTGCGCGCTGTCGTGGACGCAGTACTCCAAGCTGGCCGACTTCTCGTTGGAGACCAAGAGCTACCTCGACAAGGTGGCGAGGCACCGCGAGATCATCGCGCTGCTGCCGCAGTGGGCGCAGGACTTTTTCTTGGCAGGCATGCGCGTCATGCTGCGGGACGATTTTATCAAGGTTGCTGGCGACATCGCGGAGTACGCGAGCACAGCGGTGGGGAAGGCGATGGACGGCAAGCAGAAGTCGCGGGTGCGCCGGGCCCAGGACAGCTTCCTGAGAGGGGCAGATCGGGCGCACAAGGCGACCAAGCCCGGCGCGCTGCAGCTGGCGCTGCCCAAGAAGACGGAGCGCGACAGGACCGCCAGCCCCGTCAACGCCTGCGACAAGGAGATGAAGGATTGGGCCAACATCTGGAGGTGCCCCGAGCTGGAGCAGCTGCCGAGGCCGCTCGGCATCGACCAGTGGGAGCCGCTCCCCACGCTCACGGTGGGCATGCTGCAGGCTGCTGCGCTGTCCTTCCCGACCACCACGGCGATCGGGCCCGCGCGCAACGGCATGCGGGCGCTGGTGCACTTCTCGAAGGTCGGGGTCCATGTGTGCGCTGCCCTCTTCACGTGCTGCGAGGAGGTCGGTGATTGGCCCAACGGCAGGATCTGGCACGACATGGTTAGGCTGCCCACGCCGACGGGAGGCTGCCGTCTGATCACGCTCATGCACACGCTGGTCAGGCGGTGGTCACGAGCGAGGGCCAGCGTCTCCAAAGCCTGGCTCTCAGTGCACCCCAGCGCCGACATCTGGGGCACGGGAGGAAGCAGGAACTCGTCGGACTCGGCCTTCGACCTCACCATCGAGACGGAGATCTCCGCGGCGCTCGGGGAGCACGCGCGCGCGGTGCTCATGGACTCCTGGAAGTTCTTCGAGACGATTGTCCCCGCGGCGCTGCTGGCGGAGGCGCGGGAGCTGGGCATGCCGCTGCGCCTCGTCTGGCCGCTATTGGAGCTCTATCGGCAGCCGAAGAGGCTATGCGCGTTCGGCTCGATCTTGTACGTTGTGATCGTTTGGCAGGGGGCGCTGGCGGGCTGCGCGCACGCCCGCGCGATGGTCTCGCCGATGCTCCACAGGCTGCTGCAGCGCATGCGCCGCCTCGGCGCAACGCCCAGAGCGCTGACCGACGACGTCGCCCTGCACGTGGCGGACTTCAGCGCGCCTGCCCTGGACAAGCCGCGGGCTGCAGTCACCAGGTTCCGAGAGGGCGCGCGCGAGCTCGGCATCATCATCCAGCGGGAGAAGTCTGGCTACGTCACCCCGCCCGAGGCCGTCGCGCAGCGTTGTCGGCAGCACGGCGGAGCGCGAGGCCTCAAGGGCAGGCGCTGGGTCAGGAACCTGGGGCACGACCCTTGCGACCGTCGCAAGGCGCGGCGCCAGACCGCCGAGAGGGCGAAGGCGCTGGCTGCGCGCAGGGGCGGGCTTGTGCTCTTCAAGAAGGCGGTGGGCAGGCGGGTCGCCTGCCTCTGGAAGACGCCCGCCCCCCCCCCTCCCAACGCCGCGCACGGAGCTGGAGTGTCAGGGGCCGCCGAAGCCACGCTCAGCAAGCTCAGGTGCGAGGCGGGCATGCTGGTCGGGGCCAGGCCTGGGCCCTCGGGCGCCGCGGTCTTCCTGGCGACGCAGAGGGCAAAGGAGTTTGATCCCATATACGCGGCGACCTGCGAGTTGGTCTGCCGCTACGCTAGCTGGGCGTGGGAGCAGCGCACCTCGCTCGCGCGCCCCCACCATGCTTGGGCCGAGGCGACGGCCAGGCTGGCGGCCCCCCCCCGGCTGGGCGCAGGCACGTGGGCCCATCGCGTCCACGATCCGCACGCTGCGGCGCATTGACTGGTGCATGCACTCGTCGTCGGTGCTCGTCACGGACCGAGAGAAACACGTAAAATTCATGACGGAGTCGCCCAAGGACGCCAGGCCGCATCTGGCCATGGGATTCGCGCGGTGGCAAGGGCGGCAGATCCTCCAGCACTTCCCGCAGTGCGGCCGGCAGGCCAAGCTGCGGGCGAGGGCAACGAGGTTCTGCGCGGGCGGACCCAAGGCCGCGGTCGCAGAGGGCCCAGGGGCCATCATAAGCCTGCGCATCCACTGGGCAGGGGTGCCTTGGACCAGGCAGGCGCAGTTCGACGCGGAGCTGGCCACCTCGTCCGAGTGCGCCGCATGCGGGGCGGAGCCGGACTCCCTTGGGCACCGCTTCTTCGGCTGCGAGACCCTCCTGGAGCCAGAGTTCCTGGGCGATGAGAAGGGCGAGGTGCTCTCCGAGAGGCACAACGTGGCCTGGGCCTCATGCGCGACCAGGGCCTCAAGCTGGGCGGTGGGCCACAGGCGCGGGGCGAGTTCGCGCTGTCGACCTGCCCACCCTGCGCGCCACCGAGCACGCCGCCTGCGGCGGAGCGCACCGCGGAGGTGTTCTACTGGGGCGACTGGAGCGCCGACACTGGCACGGCGCGCGAGGGCAACGTCGTCTTCACGGACGGCTCGGGTCTGGCCTCGGCGATGCCCGAGCTGCGGCGCTGCGGCTGGGCAGCGGCGCAAGTTTCGACGCAGGGCCTGCCAGTGCGCGCCGCGCACGGGCCTCTGCCAGGCCCCCTTCCAGATGGTGGGGCGCGAGGAGAGGCACGCCCTGCTGCAGGCGCTGCTGGCCCTCTCGCCGCAGCTCGGCGGGTCCGACGTCGAGGTCGCCTTCACGGACCTGCTGGGGTTCGCCGAGGAGGCGGCCTCCTGGGGCGCGGCGCTCAAGCAGGCTAGCGCGACGCACGCCACGGTCTGGCGGCGCCTGCACGCGCAGCCTGCGCGGCCTGCGGTGCGCTGGATTCCTGCGCACACTGAGTTCCGGCAATTCCAAGAGCAAGGGCTGCATCCCCTCCTCTTCATGGGGGACATGTGGGCGGATCTCTTCGCGAAGGAAGGGGCCAGGACACACGCTGCCTCACAGGGTTACGCGGACTTCTGCGGGATGGAGATCGAGTGCCACAAGCAGGTCGCGGCCTACATCGCGTGGGACACGCAGCGCATGCTGAAGATCCCGAGCTGGTAGGCGACGGACTCGGCAGCGCGCCCCTGCAAGAGGCCTCCGAACGCGCCGCCCGTGCTGTGGTGCGGCACCAGCTGGTCCTCCTGCATGGCGACAGGGTCATGCTGTGTCGGCGGTGCTGAAGATCCACGGCGGCCACCCGAGGTTCGTCGTGGGCGCAGTACCTGCGCGCCCCATGCAGCGAGAGCGAGGTGGCGAAGTTCAAGGCGGACGCCATCATCGAGCACGTGGGGGCTACGTGGTTCCAGGTGTCAGCGGAGGGCCCTGTCGCCATGGCGGCGCTGGACGTCTCCCAGGGGCGACCTCGACGAGGCCCCGTCGACGCTCTGGGTCCTGGGCGACACGGCGACGGAAGTGCAGGGCCACCGTTTGCGCAGGGCTGGCCCGACCATCTTCTGCCAGGTGTGCATGGCCTGGTCGGGCACTGGCACGTCGAAGGCGCTGCTGGAGCCGTACGGAGGCATGCCCACTGGTGAAGGTCGTGACGCGCGGACTTACGTGTCCAACCTGCGGTCGCGGCTTCGGCGACTGGAGGCAACAGGCACCCGAAGAGCGGAGGTGCCATTGCCTGGCGTGGAGTTGCTGGCTGAGGCGTGGGTCGGGGCAGAGTCTCGCGTATGCCTTGAAACCGTGCCGCCTGGAAGGGCGGAATGCGCCAGTCGGAGAGGCTCCTCGTCGTGTTCGGCACCTGCGAAATGCTCTTCGGGTTCTGGGTGCCGTGGGCGATTGGCCGCGGCACTGGCGGCTGGTGTCTGATCGGCCGAAGGTCGGCATGCCATGGCCGCTGCGTGCTGGCCTGCAAGCGGGGTGCGGGAGAGGAGGCGGCCTGCTGGCGCCCAGGTTCCCGCCGCCTGCGAGGAGTGCTGGGGGAACTCCCCCGGTCCAGGCGGGCCGAACCGCGGCCGCGGCCCGATGCCGCTCTGGCCATCCTGGGCCGAGCGAAGCGGCGTGCGCCGTGCGGGTCTGCCGGGCCAGGGGCCGCTCAGGTAAGGCTCTGGAGAGCTCTGGACAACCGGTCTCGGCGTCTGGAGCGCCTTCTGGACTTCGGCGACATGATGCCTCTCTGAGGCCGCCCGTGCGGGCATCGCGAGCGTCTGTCGGGCCCCCGTCGGATGCCTCTCGCCGTCATCTCCCGTCATCTCCCCCTCCTCCTCCTCCTCCTCCTCCTCCTCCTCCTCCTCCTCCTCCTCCTCCTCCTCCTCCTCCTCCTCCTCCTCCTCCTCCTCCTCCTCCACTTCCTCCTCAGAAACCTGTCGGCGTCGTCCACAGCAGAAGCATGTGGGACCACCGCAGAAGTAGGTGGGAAACTATCGAGCTCAATACTCAATACTCAAGCTTGAAGAGCGACGACGGCGGCGGCGACGGCTCTAGCGGAGGCTGGTGCGATGGCCGCCGCGGGGGAATAATCATTTCCTGATTATCGTTGGGGCCTCAATCCGTCAATAAACCCACGGAAGAATAGATTAGTTTCCCCTAATTGCCCGGGTCTCTTAAAGACCCTTCGAGGTCAGCGTGTCGCTCCGCTCCGCGGTGCGGGAGGCTCGGAAAGGCTTGGGACGATGACGCCTGGGGAATGGGATGTGGACAGCGTGTCGCACCGCGGCGCGGTGGGCCAGCACCGGTGGAGCGACACGTCAAGCCAATGTTCCTGACAGTATCTTTGCTTCGGTGCACATCTTGAGAGGAGAAGGATAAAAGCTGAGGCTTACGCTCCAGGTGTGTGCCTCGCAGCTTGCCCAAGGAAAATAAGAGCTGAGGGGTCGACGGTGAGCGGACAGAACATGCAGCCTCGCGTACACTCCAAGTTGGCACCGAGGCAAACCGTAGGGGCAAAGAGTCTCGATGCAGCCATCGTGCTACCACAAGGAACTCAGAATCTGGAGCGAAGGAGCTTTTGTGGCCACGGCGGGCGTGAGCCACGAATAGGAACCTGGGATGGACAGAACCCCCGTTAGTAAAACGTGGTTGCATGAAGACGACCTCGGGGCCCAAACCTGGCGGCCGCAAGCCTGGAAAATGACGGCCGCGGCGCCCTCTCGAGAACCGAAAACAGACAATTCACGAATCGACGTGTCAGGGTGGGGGCTCTGTCCACCCCCGAATCAAGCTGGGGAACGGCCCGAAAACCCGAGCCCCTCCCGAGCCCGAGGCGGTCCGTATCCCAGCGCCTTGGCTATACGCTGGGGCCAGAGGCCGGCCGCCAGACACCAAAAACGGCGGCAGAGCGGCCGCCTCTGCTTTGCCGAAGCACAAGAAGTATGGGAAAGCACGTCCTCCTCCTCCTCCTCCTCCTCCTCCTCCTCCTCCTCAACCTCCTCTCCTCCTCGTCCTCGTCCTCCTCCTCCTCCTCCTCCTCTCCTCCTCCTCCTCCTCCTCCTCCTCCTCCTCCTCCTCCTCCTCCTCCTCCTCCTCCTCCTCCTCCTCCTCGCTTCCTCCTCCTCCTCCTCCTCCTCCTCCTCCTCCTCCTCCTCCTCCATCCTCCTCCTCCTCCTCCTCCCTCCTCCTCCCTCCTGGATTCCTTTTCCTTAAAACTAATTTCCCCCTGTCGCACCCCGAGGCCAGTTTTTTAGGGCGGGCCTGGCGTTTCGCCTAAGACTTCCTCACCATATATGACTCTGAATCTTCAAAAGTGACGACAGCTTCACAGATGGAGGGCGGGTGGTTTTCAAAATGTGGCTCTCGCCTTAGCGCCGCGCACATTCGTCTTAAAAACTTACAACAGAAGTTTCACGGATTGAGGGCGGGTCGTTTTCAAAATGTGGCTCTCGCATTAGCGCCGCGCACATTGATTGTAAAAGTTCGCAAGAGCTTCACGGATTGAGAGCGGCTCCTTTTCAAAATGTGGCTCTCGCCTTAGCGCCGCGCACATTCGTATTAGAAATGTGCAAAAGTATCGCGTTGCCTTTTCAAAATGTGGCTCTCGCCTTAGCGCCGCGTACATTCGTTTTAAATGTTGCAAGGGTTTCACGGATTGCCATGATCAACGCACCAGAAATTGTATTGTGGAAGGATTCAGGGTTATGCGGGTGCAACACTTGTTGATTGGTGGTGCTGAAGTCCCAACAATGGCGTTCTGCCCCGATTCTGGATCGTCAAGACGCAGCAGTCAGGTTGATCCGTGGCATTGGAATCCAGAGAACCATGCTTTCGCATGCTTCAGGAGATTCAAACGGTTGTCTTCCAACGAGGTAATTCCCTCAATGGAAATGAACCGCTGTAGGGGCCTATGAAGAGGGAGCTTGAAAGGAGTGTTAGTTCCAAAATCGTTGATGACTCTGGCTTTTACACTGGTCCTCTTCCTCCTCCTCCTCCTCCTCCTCCTCCTCCTCCTCCTACTATTCTCCTATTCTCCTCCTCCTCCTCCTCGTTCTCCTCCTCCTCCTCCTACTACTACTATTATCCTATTCTCCTCCTCCTCCTCCTCCTCCTCCTCCTCCTCCTCCTCCTCCTCCTCCTCCCCCCCATCCTCCTCCTCCCCCTCCTCCTTCTCCTCCTCCTCCTCCTCCTCCTCCTCATCCTCCTCCTCCCCCTCCTCCGACGTCCGCGCTCAGGGCGCTGGTGCCCGCCGCGGGCTTCGAGGGCCTGGACAGCCTCGGCAACGGCAACGACGCCGCCTTGCCGGAGGGCGCGCCGCCGCCGCGCTCCTGGAGGACGACGGCGACGGCGACGACGACGACGACGACGACGGCGGCGACGACGACGACGACGACGGCGGCGGCGACGACGACGACGACGGCGGCGACGACGGCGGCGGCAACGGCGGCGACGACGACGACGACGAGACGGCGGCGGCGGCGGCGGTGGCGCGCTCCTGGGGGCCGCTCCTCGCCGGGAAGGGCCGGGGACGCTGGGCCTGGTTCTGGGCCGGCTGCTCGCGCCTCGGGCTCCTCGCGGGGGCAAAGATCGGTGGCGCGCCCGGGGGGCAAAGTCACTGAGGGGGCAGGCCTCCCGCCGCCCCTGACATCCCCTCGTTGCGACAAGAGCGCGACGGGATCTTTAGCCCACATTCGGCCTCCGGGGCCCCCGCCCCGGGATCGCCCAAAAACGACGTGGGATGAACAGCCGGTCCGGGGGAAGAGGTCACGACCTCTGGGGAGCCACGTTGTGAGAAAAAACACGGCGTCGGAGATCTGGGAAGTGAGAGGGGGCAGGCCTTCTCTGAAGGCAGCGGAGCTTCTCAGAAGCCCTGTGGCCTTCCGAAAATGAAGTCCTCGGGCCCTGGGCCACCTGCTCGCGCCTCGGGCTTCGCAGGAGAACAAGAAGTGGCATACTTGGAGGCGTAGAGGCTGACACCAACAACAGAACCGACAGAGCCTCCATCGAGGGCAGATGCACCCGACCTCGGTGATGGCGGTGGTGGTGGTGGTCGGGCTTCTGAGCTGGCCACAAGACTACCACCGGCACCAAAATCTGTGATCATCTTCCCCTCATGGAGGCATCCCCGTGTCTTGATGGCGGTGCCGATGTCCCGGCTTCCAAGCAGAAGCATGCACGTACGGGCACTCTAGCTCTCGACGTCGGCGCTGTTCGCAGAGACGAGGCCCAGACCCCCTCGCGTCGTGAAAAAACACAGCGGAAGCTTCGCGACTCGGCCTCCGGGGGCATTCACCACGGGGCCCCAGGACTGTCCAACAACGACTCGGGATGAAAAACCGGTCCCGGGGAACGGGTCGAGAGCTCCGGGGGTCCGCGTTGGGAGACGAAACACGAGGTCGGATGTCTGGGGAGCCAGGAGCGCGAGGGGCTCCAGATCTGGCCGTGCCCCCCCAAGACGCAGTCTGCAGCTTTGCGATGTGACCGAAGTCCAGTGAAGTTTCGGCCGACGCCACGAGCGGAGGTCCACGCTGGGATCGGCGCCAGAAGCCCAGCGCCAGAGGCGCCGCCGGGAGGGTCCAGCGCCGATCCAAGAAATCCGCGTGGGCCTCCGAAAGTGTACGCATGCTTGTGCGGTTGTCTTCTTCTTCGTATTATTATTATTATTAGTAGTAGTAGTATTATTATAATTATTATTAATATTAATATTATTATTATTACCATTCATATCATTACTATTATTATTACTATTATTATTACTATTATTGATACTATTATTACTATTACTATTATTAGTATCTTTAATATTAATATTATTATTATTATTAGTATTAGTAGTAGTAGTAGTAGCAGCAGTAGTAGTAGTAGTAGCAGTAGTAGTAGTAGTAGTAGTAGTCGTAGTCGTAGTCGTAGTAGTAGTAGTAGTAGTAGTAGTAGTAGTAGTAGTAGTAGTAGTAGTAGTAGTAGTAGTAGTAGTAGTAGTAGTAGTAGTAGTAGTATTACGATTATTATTATTATTCGAGCTCCTCCTCTTGGGCGCCGCCTTGTCATTCTTCTTCTTGTCCGAGGAGAGGAAGCTGGACGCGAACAGCGGGAAGAGGACGGCCACCGCCATGGCCTCCACGGACGCGTACGAGCCGAAGGACCATCTCGGTGATGCAGAGGCGGACGTCTGCAACATCATGGTGGACTCGGCGTCACCGCTGGAGACGGAGTCCGCGCTGGGACCCGCCTCGCTGCTCCTGTCACCTTGCCACAGCGCGTCCACCACCACGAGGACGGCCACTGCCTGGATCAGGAAGCGGAGCAACGGCTTGCTCACTGCCTGGCGCATTAGGGAATCAAAGCTCGCCGACATGTGGCGGATCGAATAAAGGGCCATGTTGCCGTGAATGTAGAAAATGGAATTGCTTAGAATCGGCGCGGGACCGGCCGTAGTGCCTTTGCTCAAAAGGTGTTTCCTTTCCTGAGCAGTTCTTGCTTGAGCCAACGGACAACGGAGGACGAAGTGGACGACACACAGCGGGATCCAGAAACCTTGAACCGAAACACCTTGCCATCTCTTGGGAGCGCATCGTTCACTTCCGCCGGCGTTCCGCCAACCTCCGCCGGCAGTGCCAGCCGCCGTATCACTCCAGCCCGCTTCCACCGCCCTTCCGCCGCCTTCCGCCCACGCAGAGATGCCAACTCTTTTAAAGTTCGAAGGCAAAGCCATTTCTGCAGCGCCCCACATGATGGGCGGCCGGAGAATCTGAACCGGTTGGGGCCCAGAAAACCAATCAAGAGGGTGGGATGAAGGCAAATCCGTTCAAAATCGGTCCCCAGACCCCTCTCGGGGTCCATCCGGGTCAGTTTTTCGTCCCGTATCGATTCCCGGCGGTCTCAGGGCCGGAAAACGGCCCCTGGACGCAGAAAACCAATGCTGGGCCACCCTGGGGTGGCCCCGCCACCGACCCGGGTTGGAGCTGCCGCTGCCCCTCCTCCTGCGCCAGCGCCCTTGGCCTCCACGACGTTGGGGGCCGACGCAGCGGGACCGCTTGGCCCCGGATGTGCATCGCGGTGGGGCCGTAGTGTTCCTGGACCTCGCCCTGCAGCTGGCTGGCGAAGTCGGTGGCCTGGCCTCGGAACTGGCGCCTCGCCTCATCCGAGATGCCGAGCCCCTCCAGGTTGGACACCTCGCCGGCCTGGACCTCCAGGACGGCCGCCCCCCCTGTAAGCGGCCTGGAGGAAAAGTCGAGGGCCGCGCCCTTGCTGCCCTCGGGCGCCAGGGCGTCTGCGTCTGCGCTCCGAGGCCCCACCTGCAGCCCAAGCCCCGAATGGCGCGCGCTCCGGAAACATGGAGGGCCGAAGGGCCATCCCGCACTTGAAGCAGAAGCATGCGGTGTTCTTCTGCCAGTTCCAATCGTATCCGCACGCACGGCACTTTGCAAACTCCTGCGTCTGGCTTCCAGGCTGCTCACCCCTTTTCTCCCATGGCCACTCACAAGCACTGCCCAAGGCTGAGAGACTGCCCCCACCAGGAGCGAACGGAGATGTTAGCTCCACCAGGAGCCCACGTAGGCTGGTCGAGGCAGCCAGGCCTGCGTGAAGTCCTCCAACCTCGGCCTCAAGCCTCTGGATCCGGGACGGGGGGTAAGCCCCGTCTTAAGCCAAAATGGATACGGAGAGAAGGAGGAGATGAATAAGGAGGAGGAGCGGAGGAGGAGGAGGAGGACGAGGAGGAGGAGGAGGAGGAGGCCCAATGCAAAGCCAAGACGCACCAACGATGTTGCAAGAAACCCTCCCTCCAAGTTCCCTCTACACTAGTCCCTACATGAACTTGTACTCATTGCGGGAAGTGGCCCATTAGAAGACAATCGTCTGAGAAGTCTCAATCCTCCCAAAACACCATTCATTCATCTGAATTCAACGCCGCGGATCAACATGACTGATGCGTCCTGACAGTTCAGAACCTTTCCACAACAACATTCTTGGGACTTCAACACCCCGAATCAGCGTGACTGATGCGTACTGGCAGTCCGAAAACGTGCCCAGATTTCCTTGAATCCATGAAACGACGGTATATTGAAACTGTCGCACTCTTTTCAGACTTATGAGCGCGGCGCTGAGCGAATGACATATGTTGAAAAGGACCCGCCCTACTTTTTGAAACTGATGCAAACTTTCCAGACATATGTGCGTGGCGCAAGCGCGAGAGCCGCAAGTGTGCTAACGACCCGCCCTTCAACGGCGCAACTGTTGCAAATTGATCGAACGAATGTGCGCGGCGCAGATGCGAGCGCCACATGTTGGAAACCACCCGCCGTCCATGGGTGAAACTGTTGCAAAGTTATCAGACGAATGTGCGCAACGCTATGGCGAGAGCTACATGTTGAAAATAGCCCACCCTGTATCAGCGAAACTGCTGCAAAGATCTAGCTTCAGGATAATAATTGGTGAAGAAGTCTCTGGCGAAACGCCCAGCCCACCCTACCGAAACTTCTGGGGTCGCGACAGGGAAGTGTTATTTGCAAGTGCAAGGAGAAAGATCAAGGAGAACGAGGGAGGAGGGAGGAGGAAGGAGCGGGGATGAGGAGGGCGGAGGGAGGAAAGGAGGAAGAGGAAGAGAAGGAAGGAAGGAGCAGGAGGAATCAGAAGGAGGCAGAGGAGCAGGAGGAGGAGGGTCCGGGATTCACGCCAGAAGCCCGTGCTTCAGGTCCGAGCAGCGTCCCAGGCGGCCGAGCCTCGGCCTGGCGCAGCAGCCGCGCCACTTCTGCGTCGCCCGGCGCCGCCGCCGCCGCGGCAGAGAGCACGTCCGAGGCCGGGCCAGGCTGGCCTCGGACGCTCGCATGGGGGGAGGAGGAGGGAAGGAGGAGGAGGAGAAGGAGGAGGAGGAGGAGGAAGAGGAGGAGAAGGAGGAGGGAGGAGGAGGGCGGCCCTTCGTGGCCCCCCGAACGGCCGCCAGAGGCTCCCCAGAGGCCCTGGAGAGGCGTCCAGGAGGCCTACAGCCCCAAGAAGCATCCAAGAGGCCTGTTGTCGACGACCCGGGCAAGGTTGCGGGATTGGCAGAAGTGAGCAAAACTTGAATGCAGCAACCAGCCAACAACATTATTAAACTTTATGCCGCGAACTAGGAGTTGGTGCCCTGGGGGGGTGAAGCATCCCCTGAATCTCAAAACGTCAAGTAAGGCACTTCCTTGGAACGGAATAGATCGAAAGCCACTAGATATAGCAAGAAACGCAAAGTTAACCGCAGGCTTGGGCGTCTGGGAGGCGATTTCGGGCCCCGGGCCGGCGCAAAAGTAATTACGCCCGCGGCAAAATCCTCGGCAGGCCGAAAATGAGCAACAAAAATCGTCGTGATTTTCTCGCAAACCTGAAGTGCGACGTCCCCCAAAAAATGCAACACTGTCCAGATGCTCGACCAGAGCCCTGGACCTCATCTTCGTGCGGCACCTTCCGAGCCGCACCAATCCGTGAGGGGCCGGGGGCCCGAAACAAGGCAGAATCGCCCCTTCTGGCCAAAAAAATGCGACGCCAGGATCTGCTGGAACGAGAACTGGCGGCGCGCACAAGGCACGGGCTCGCTTCGCTGGAGTCTCGGCTTGCCGGGGCTCGGCTCGCTGGGGCTTGGCTCGCTCGGGCTCGCTTCGGCTGGGGCTCGGTTCGCCCGACTCGATTCGCTCAGCTCGGGTCGCCAAGGCTCGGTTCAGCCGGGGCTCGGTTCGCCTGTCTCGTCTCGCCGGGGCTCGTTTCGCCGGAGTCTCGTTTCGCAGGAGTCCCGTTTCGCCGGGGTCCCGTTTCGCCGGGGCTCGTTTCGCCGAGGCTCGTTTCGCCGAGGCCCGTTTCGCCGAGGCCCGTCTCGCCCGAGTCTCGCTCAGAGTCTCGTTTCGCCAAAGCGTGTTTCGCCAGGGCTCGCTTCGCCGGGCACGTGAAGGATCCAAAAGGCGGAGGAGGGGGAGCAGGCGGGCGGACCCTATAACGGGCGGGGCGGGTCGGGCGTGCGGACCCTGACGGGCGGGTCGGGTCGGGCGGGCGGGACATTCGAGTCTGACGCATCATCGAATTAACACGCGCGAGCCCTAATGGGCGGGCCAGGTCGGGTGGGCGGACCCGAACGGGCGGGTCGGGTCGGGCGGGCGGACCCTAACGGGCGGGTCGGGTCGAACGGGCGGGACAGAAAGGAGGACGCATCATCGAGTTAGCACGCGCGAACCCTCACGGATGGGTCGGGTTTGGCGAGCGGACCCTAACGGGCCGGTCGGGTCGGGCGGGCGGACCCTAACGGGAGGGTCGGGTCGGGCGGGCAGAGCTGGGCGAATCGAAACTCGGGCGATCCGAGCCTCGGGCGAATCGAGCCAGGCGGATCGAGCCCCGAGCGAATCGAGACCTGGGAGAATCGAGCCCCGGACGAGTCGAGCTGGGCGAATCGAGCCTGGGCAAATCGAGCTGGGCGAATCGAGACGCGGGCGATTCGAGCGGGGCGATTTGAGCTGGGGCGAAACGAGCCGGGCGAATCGAGTCGGGCGAATCTAGCCCGACGAAGCGAGACTCGGCGAATCGAGCCGGGCGAGTCGAGCCCAGCAATTCGAGACTCGGGCGAATCAAAGCCTACGCCGCGCACAAGATGGTATCGGAGGAGGGGGGGAGGCCTCTCAGAAGCACCCGGGTTCTCAGAAGAAGGAACCGGCCCTACACCTCCAGACAAGGCCCGCGCCTTCTGCTTCCGCGAAGCCTTCCCCACCCTCGGAGAGCGTGGCCGCGAGAGGACGTCAGGCGCGGCGGCGCGGCGGCGGCAGCGGCGGCCGCCGAGCGCGCGCGCGCGCCGAGGCCGCCCGCCGAGGCGCAGCAGCGCCGCGCCCTTGCGCAGCAGCGCCTTGGGCGCCCGGCCGTTGATGGACAGCGCGGCCTCTGGGCGGGCCGCGGGCCGGCGCAGGCTGGCCTGGCGGCGCACCGCGGCGAGGCCCGGGCCTGCGGCAGGTGCGTGCGGCGCTGGCGCGCGCCAGGGTTTCTGACCCCGCGTCGATCGCTCAAGCCTGAACCGATCGAGGCCCCGCTCGTGCAAGGTCGGACTCTGTCGGGTCGGCGCCGCCGCGTCCCTCGGTGCCTCCGCGTCGCACTGCCGTGCGCAGTGCAGCTTCGGGCGCCTTCGCGGGCGTCCCTGGCGCGCCAGTGCCGCATGAACCGACCGCACTCCCCTGAGATCCTGGCGTCTGAGCCTTTGCTTGGGGCCGTATCTCAAGGGGCCCAGGGAGACACAAAGGAATTAGCACAAATGTAAGGGTTTACAATGTTTCCTTCTACATCCCCTGGATTTCCCTCGTCCCCTCCATTTCCCCATAGTGCCTTGTATCTTCATGAAGCTCAGCGTTCATGTGCTTGCGCCCACTCCTGCCTCCCGGATATTTCGAAGTGTCCTTTGTCTGAACCTGCCTGCCCGGAGCTCCGGGCGTCGCATGTTTTCACAACGGGCGACTCTGCATTGACTCGGCCCCGGGGCCCTCACGCATCGACCCAGCTGTCGGGGGCCCAGTCGAGCTTTTAGACGATGTTGCAATTCTTTTCGTGGCGTCGGATCTCTGGGGAGGCCCAGAGCTACTCGCGCCGTGGCCAAAAAAACAAGGAGGGAGGGCCCCCCGAGGAGGCCGTCAGAAGACGACCAACGGATGAGAAAGCGGTCCCTTCGGACAGAGGGAGGAGGGAGGGAGGGAGGAGGAGGGAAGAGGGAGGAGGGAGGATCGAGGAGGAGGAGGAGGAGGAGGAGGAGGAGAAGGAGGAAGAGGATGAGGGAGGAGAGGGAGGAGGAGAGGAGAGGAGGAAGAGGAGGAGGAGGAGGAGGAAGGGACGAGGGAGGAGGGAGGAGGGATGGCAGGATGGAGGGAGAGAGTGCGGGAGGGAGGGAGGGCGGCAGGAGGCGGGGGAGGAGGAGAAAGAGCGAGAAGGAGGGTAGAGGAGGAGAAGGACGAGGAAGAGGAGGAGGAGAGAAGAAGGAGGAGCAGGAGGAGAGAGGGAGGACGGGGCATGAGGCAGGGAGGAGGCAAGAGGCACAGCAGGAAGAGGCCAGGCTTCCGGGCCCCCCGCCAGCCTCGGCCCACTGCACCGCCTCCGAGTGCCTCTCCTCGGCTGCGCTGGCGGCCGCCCGCGCGTCGCGCGGCCGTCGTCGTCGCCATCGCCATCGCCATCGCCGCCGCCATCGCCGTCGCCGTCGCCGTCGCCGTCGCCGTCGCCGCCGCCGCCGCCGCCGCGGCCCGGCGGAAATTGCAAAGACCGTCCGTCGTGATTCTTCGCGACACGGAGGTGGTCTGGCCTCTGCCCGCCGAGCCACCCCCGAAGCAACCCGGAGTCGCCATCGGGGGCCTGCCGATGTCCGGCGGGGGTGCGCGCCCTGGAGGCCGCGCCCGACCTGCGTGGGGGTCGGGTCGGGGCGGTTTGGGTCCGCAGCGCCCCGGGATCGCCCCATCCCGGGGAGGGAGGCGCCAGCGAGGGCCGATGCCGAGCTCGTGGGCGGGGGGGGGGCCGCGGGAGAGGAGGACGGCGAGCACGTGCGCGCCCAGGCCTCCGACAACCTGGCGTGTGCAATCGCGGCGTTGGGCTCCTCGATCTCGGTCTCGGGGGCTCGTCGGCGGGCCCCAGGGCCATCACAAGCGGGCCCCTGGGCGCAGAGGTGGCCCCAGGGAGGGAGTCGAGAGCTCTGGGGCTGGGCACTCCAGATATCGGATCGTCGGAGGCCTGGGTGTGCTGCACAGGGAGACCGAGGATTATCAAGACGACGGGGGGGGAGAGGGAAAACACACGTAATGCTTTCCCCCGCCCGCCCCCCCCCCCCCCCCTGGATCCAAACCGCGAGGCGTGGAGGTCTGGGCGGCCGTTGAACTCCTTCTGAACCAACGGGGAGGGAATGGAAAATGCACGTCGCACTTTTGTCCGCAACGTGGCTCCCCAATGGTCTGGACCCCGTCCCCTGGACTGGTTTTGCATCCCGAATAATGTTTCGACGGTGCTGGGGCCCAGCGAAGGCCCCCAAAGGCCGAAAATGGGCGCGAACCTGCCGTCGTGATTTTTCTTTTCTCACATCACAAAAAATTGATGGCAGGGCCGCCCCAACGGCGACGCACGCAGGCATGGGCGGGCGTTCTCCTCCTTCAGGGCGACGGCGGCCAAATTCTGCAGGATCGGGAACCGCAGGTCCAGCAGCTCCTGGGTTGTGGTCTTCAGCTCCCTCCGCGTGAACCGCCGAAGGTCCCCACCTGTGACTGCCAAAGCCGAGCAAGAGCAAGAGTTCACGCGTCCCTCTCCTCCTCCCCATCCTCCTCCCCTCCATTCTTCTTCCTTATAAATAACTTCTCCCAGTCGCACCCCGAGGCCAGTTTTTAGGGCGGGCCGGGCGTTTCGCCTGAGACTTCCTCACCATGCATGACTCTGTGAAGCTTAAAAGTGGCAACAGTTTCACAAATGGGGGAGGGCGGGTGGTTTGCAAAATGTGGCTCTCGCCTTAGCGCCACGCACATTCGCTTTAAACATTGCAGAAATTTCACGGATTGAGGGCGGGTGGTTTTCAACATGTGGCTCTCGCCTTAGCGCTGCGCACATTCGTTTAAATTATCCCGGCAAAGCAACCTAACAGCGATGTGTAGAAGCATATCTGAAAGCATTCCCCTTAAGATTCAGATGAAAAGCCAGTTGTAGAATTCTGCTGTTCTCGCAGTCGTAGTCGCATTCGCGATGACAGTCGCAGCGGCAACGGCAGTCGCAGTCACAGCCTCAGCCTCAGCCTGCCTCAGCCTCAGCCTCAGCCTGCCTCAGCCTCAGCCTGCCTCAGCCTCAGCCTCAGCCTGCTTCAGCCTCAGCCTCAGTCTGCCTTCAGCCTCGGCCTCAGCCTCAGCCTGCCTCAGCCTCAGCCTGCATCAGCCTCAGCCTCAGCCTCAGCCTGCCTCAGCATCAGCCTGCTCAGCCTCAGCCTCAGCCTGCCTCAGCCTCAGCCTCAGTCTGCTTCAGCCTCAGCCTCAGTCTGCCTTCAGCCTCGGCCTCAGCCTCAGCCTGCCTCAGCCTCAGCCTGCCTCGGCCGCAGCATCAGCCTGCCTCAGCATTCAAAATGTGGCCCAGGAATGGAGTTCTGGGAACTAGAAGAACACGAAGTGGCCTACAGTTGGCTCCGGGCATTCAAAATCATGCCCAGGAATTGAATTCTGGGAACTTGAAGAGCACGAAGTGGCCTACAGTTGGCTCCGGGCATCCAAAATGTGGCCCGGGAATGGAGTTCTGGGAAATCGAAGAGCACGAAGTGGCCTACAGTTGGCTCCGGGCATCCAGAATGTGGCCGAAGAGCACGAAGTGGCCTACAGTTGGCTCCGGGCATCCAAAATGTGGCCTGGGAATGGAGTTCTGGGAGCACCAAGAGCGATTTTGCGAGGATGTCCCAAGCGATTTCGGCTTCGGCGGCAGCCTCCTGGGTCCCGCCCAGACCCCCCTGAGGAGTCATGATGCTCTCTTTTGAGACCACTAGAAATCTATCAGCAAGAGCTGTTAGGTAAAAAGTTGCCAGAGATCAACGGATTGAGGGATTCCCAAATTTGCCAGAATTTCACGGATTCCCATGATGAACGTGCCAGAAATGGTGTTTTGGAACGATGCAGAATCATGCGGGTGCTGAAATCCAGAAAATGGCGGCGTTCTGTCACGGTTCCGGATCGCCAAGACGCAGCAGTCAGTTTGATCCGTGGCGTTGAAATCCCGAGAACAATGTTATGGCATGCTTCCTGGTCTTCAAACGGTTGTCTTCCAACGAGGCAGTTCCCTCAATGGAAATGAACCGTTGTAGGGTCTATGAAGAGGGAGCTGGGAAGGAGGGTTGATTCCAACATTGTTGATGACTCTTGGGTTTTCACTGGTCCTCCTCCTTCCTCCTCCTCCTCCTCCTCCTCCTCCTCCTTCTCCTCCCCCTCCTCCTCCTCCTCCTCCTTCTCCTCCTCCTCCTCCTCCTCCTCCTCCTCCTCCTGTTCCTCCTCCTGTTCCTCCTCCTTCTCGTCCTCATCCTCTTCCTCCTCTGCTTAGCTTTCTTCCCCTTCCCCCGGCGATCTGCGCCCGTGATGTTTCGTTGCCGCTCTGCTTGTGAGATCCGTCGGACTGCCAGCTCTCTCCGATCCCCGCGCGCGCTTCTCCCCGCGCCCGGCCTCCACGGGGAGGGGGCCGCTCCCCGCCCCTGGCGGGACCCTCAAAACAAAGCCGCGGTCTGGGGCGGAACGCTCGTCCCCGGGGAGGGGGGTTCTCGAGGCCTCTGGGGGCCCACGGATTGAGCCGGGCCACGTCGGCGGAGGTCTCGGTCCAGAAGCACGGCGTACCCTGAGATCACGGCGTCGCATTTGCTTCTCAACGGGCAGTTTTGCCCTGCTTCGGGCCCTGGGGCCCTCACGGATCGATCCTGCTCGAAAAATGCTGTGGGAAAAGGGTGTCCAGGGCTTCAGTCGAACTTGTCTGCGATCTTGCATGTTTTCTTGTGACGTCGCATCTCAAGTGGAGGGGGGGGGAAGGGTCAGGACCTCGTAAGTGGGGACTGTAATACTCCAGGATACTTGGCACGCCCGAGAGAGCTGCAGCCGCGAGCGGAGGCATTCCCAACTGTTCTCTCCGGCTGGAACGTAGTCGAAGCCCTGGTTTGCAGAGTCCTGGCTTGAGGGGCCCCGGAAGCGAGGAGCACGTGGGGCGGCGGCCGCCGAGTGAAGGCCCAGAGAGGGTCAAACTCAAAGACGGAAGAGAGAGGCTACTCATCGAAGGGGAAGCCCTTTTGCACACGGCCGGTGGGCAGCACCAGCGGCTCGAGCGGAGGGGAGATCGCCCGCCAGAGCGTCTGGAGACAGCCGGGGCAGGCGAGGGAGCGGAGGATGAGGCAAAAAGCGGAAGAAGACGAAGACGGGGACGAGGATGCATGAGCAGCAGCCGCAACAAGGCAAGACGAGCACCAAGTTCGCACCGTGGGCGTAGCCTTTCTCGACAACTTGCAGCTTAGAGCGTAGGATCATGACGCCCTGCGACGTCTTCGACTGGAGGGCTAACCCTGGGCATGCCGCTCTTTTTCCTTCTTATCCTACCTCCTCTCTCTCTCCTCTCTCTCTCCTCTCTCTCTCTCCTCTCTCTCTCCTCCTCCTCCTCCTCCTCCTCCTCCTCCTCCTCCTCCTCCTCCTCCTCCTCCTCCTCCTCCTCCTCCTCATGCTCCTCACCTCCTCCTCCATCTCCTCCTGCTCCCCCTCCTCATGCTCCTCACCTCCTCCTCCATCTCCTCCTGCTCCTAATCCTCCTTATTATTCAAAGAGTGGCTCTCGCCTCAGCGCCGCGCACGTTCGAGTTCAGAGCTGGCGCGAGCGTCGCGGATGGAGGGCGGGCGCTTCTCAGGTGGCTCCCGCCTCGGCGCCGCGCACATTCGTCTTCAAAGTTGGCGAGAACCTTGCGGATGGAGGGCGGCTCCTCTTCAAGATGTGGCTCTCGCCTCGGCGCCGCGCAAATTCGCCTTGAGACTTTACAGCAGTTTTGAAGGTTCTTGTCGTTGACGTGCAGACACGGTGTTTTGGAACGGTGTGGCTCTGTCGGGGCGCAACACTCACGTTGATTCACGGTGAAGTTCCAGGAGCGGCGTTCTGGCACGATTCAGGATCGCCAGAACGCAACAATAATGACGATTCGCGGCGGTGAAGCCCCAGGAATGCTGTTCCAGCACGGCTCATCTGTTTCAAACGGTCGTCTAATATGTTGCCAAAAAGTCCTCACATCCTGACTTGCGGGCATGGCCTTTACTCGGGTGTCCAAGCTCATGGGGTCCCTTCTCTAGGATCCTGTTGACGGACGGCCCCCTCACGAAGCCATACGACACTGCTACAACATCCCTTTTAGGTGGCTACATGGACGGGCGACGATACGCGCGCGCCAAGAGGGAGGCGCGCGCACCCTTCACCGCTGAAGCGCAAGTTGCGCCCAGTCCTCACAAGTTGCACTTGAGCCAAACTCGCGACAACGCGCGCGCAGGCTCGCGCAACATGCAAAGGAGCGAGGGTCACGACTTGTCTTCCAACGGGGCACTTCCTCAAGCCAGTATGAATCCTTACAGGGACCTCTGAAAAGGGAACTCGGAGGGAGGGTTTCGTGCAAGATCGTTAGCGAGTCTTGGGTTTGCACTGGTCCTCTTTCTCCTCCTCCTCCTCCTCCTCCTCCACCTCCTCCTCCTGCTCATCCTCTTCCTCCTCCCCTTCCTCCTTCTCCTCCTGTTCCACCTATCTCGATGATGATCAGAACGTGCGTTAGCGCCAACGTATGCTTGTCCCCCTGAGCCATTCAATCTACGACGCAGGCGGCGCAACGAGGACTGACACAAGCAGCGCGCTATCGGTGGGGCTGAACGGGGTAAACACACTCTGGGCGAAGACGCGTCCGCCAGGCTGAACGGGGCAACACTCAAACTGGGCTAACACGCGCCCGCCTCCCCAGCAGTCTCTGGAGGCCTAGCCCCTCTGAGTCTCTGGAGGCCCCCCTCCAGAGGCCCCCGCGGAGCCCCCCGGGGAGCCCGAGAGGGACCGACGACGCCCGCAAACCTCAGTCCTCGAACCTCCATCGTCACCTCTCCCCTCAGACGTGGGTCCCCCGACCCGCGACCAGCTGCAGAGGAGGGCTGCCAGGGGGCAGCACCCTGGTGGGGGCCCACCGTGTAAGGGCTGGGTTGGGGGGCCACGGCAAGGAGGGACCAACATGGAGCTGGCCCCCCGACAGCGAATACGCGCGTCCCTGGGCGGGGCGGGCTGTCGGGGCCTCTATCGGCGATGAATGGGCGATTGGGGGTCGGCGCATCCCCCCTGAAGCCATTCCTCTTCAGCGTTGCCCCCTGGCTTTCGGATCATGACTCGGCTCTCCAACTGCCATTCGGGAAAATCCGGGCACCCAAGAACGCATTCGATGAGGCGCGGATGATTCGAAACGCCCCGAAGCTGGACAGCCGCCGAGAACGTACGAAAACATTCGGAAACCTAGAACTTCTAATAAAGTTGCCCTCGATGGTAGGCCAAATGTCCCTTCCCCCCCGCGCCCACCGGGCTCGCCCACCCAGATCGCCTGGTCGGTGCCCACGTCCTGCGGGAGCGCCACACGCACGCACAAACACACACACAATATATATATACACACATACATGTATGCACAAGCATACATACAAACGAACACGCACGCATGCATGAATACACACATGCATACCTATGAAAAGTATATGCATCGATACATACAGTTAGACATGTATGTATACATATATACAAACATGCGTACAAACATAAAGGCATGCATGTACAAATACAAGTACATATACATATGAATATACAAATACATAGACATGTACATATACATATACACATACACATACACAGACATGTACATATACATTTACACGTACATATACATGTACATATACATAAACATATACGTGTACACATGCATATGCATGCACATACACATATACATCCACATATACATATACATACACATATACATACACATGTACAAAAGCATACATAAATAACTATATAAACATATATATATATGTATATATCTACACATATATATATATGCATACATGCATACAGACATGCATGTCTACAATCTTTCCTACATGTGTGTAAGCATACATACAGTCATACATGCATGCATGCAGACTGAAGACCATACATACATGCATGCATACATATAGGTGCATGCATCAGTACATCCATATATCCATCCATACATCCATCCATATATGCATGCTTGCATATTTACATGCAGAAACGCAGGCATATATACATACATCTATGCAGACATACACATGCGTCCATACAGGCAGACATACATACATACATGCATGCATACATACATGCATACATCTATTTATATATATACACACACCAAACTATAAGACTGCACTGGCGCTTCGCGCCATGTACCTTGGTCGGTCCTTGAAGTTCGAGATAGATGTCACTGCTGCCGTTTTCCACGTCGTTGTGTCAGTATGCTTCCCTCATGTTTCCTCTTATCCTTCCTCATTATCGCCCTGATGTTTCCCCTTCATCCTCAGCTCCTGTTGCGGAGGCTCCTCTTTGGAGAGCCTATCGGGGCCTGGCGAAAATTTTGAAGGGCTTCTTGGGGCCTTCTGGAGGCTTCCTGCGCGCTTGCTGTGGTCCTCTGGGGGGTTCCTCGGGCCACCCTGCCTCCAACCGCGGTCTCCCTGAACGGCCATGTCACACTATTTGGGGTGCTTCGGGGGGCGTCGTCGGGTCACCTTGGTCCGTCATGGGGTCCTCTTCTGGCCATCTTGGGGCCCTGTTGGACCGTCTTGAGGCTCCCTTGGACTGCCTGCAACTTCTTTGGATAGTTGTTGAGTGGTTTCAGGCAGAAACCAGGCCTTGCCAACACCACAAAAATATGCGAGCGCCACATGCGCACGCATGTGCGACCGCCACGTCTCCGCGAGCACGGGTGACAAGCCTGTGAACGCGAAATTAGCCCGCGATCAGCACAGAAGCCATTGTAGACTGCGATCACAACAATAGCCTGCGAGCAAACACAGGTTCTTCGACCGCGCCTTGGTACGAGGCCACGATGCACGCGTGCGCCGCTGCGGTAGTGCCAGGGGCAAACTACAGAGGGGGGGCGGCTGAGGGGAGGCTGGCGGGCCAGCAAGACCGAGCATTTCGTTACATCCGGCAGTCAGACAAGTTGAGGTCTCCACGGTAGTGCCATATGCGTTTCATTCGTATCATGTGCTAACTGCGACATGTCATCTGGCACGCAAGATCCAGCAACTGCGATCTGCTGCATTCATGAAATTCACTGCGGTTTGAATTATGACGAATGGCTACTCACGCGAAGATAACGAAGGGTAGCAACTAAACGAAGAATACCCATCCTCAAAAACTGCAGAGGGAAAACAGCGAGAAAGGATAGACATTCAAGATAGTAAGCACATACACACACAAACATAAACCAACCCTTCGACTGGTAATGATATTGAGGAGGACGGGTGCAGCGCGCGGTTCGCGATTCGTTTCCCGTCGGATTGGCAATATACCCAACCAAACTGCTCGAAGCGTTCGAGCTCGTGGACCTTCCTTACCTAGCCTGTTGATTGTGGACATGATTCATCATATAGCTCTTGTAGCTGGTTTAACTCGTCTAGCTTGCTATGCTCTCTTAAGCCACCTGTCTCTTCAAGCTCTTTGAGCTCAACGAGCTCAAAGCAACATCTCGCACCTGAGGCGTGTTTTGCGGTTGGCGGTAATAGCAGGGACTCTTATCTAGGGTGTGCACACACTCTCGTTCCTGGGCGAAGCCATTTGACTAGCGTACACACGCCCTCATCTGCACACCCAAAGCTGCGTGTAGTGTACATCGGTTGAGTACTACATTGCCGACAGGAATGTGGAGGTATGATCAAAACGGCGGGGGAGGCACTCTAAACTTTGCATGCTGACTTCTGCACCAATGTTGCAAAGACAGCGCGTCTCGCGCACATTGGAACAATGAAGTATTACTGCCCCACTCACGCATCGAACCACAGTCATCCAACTCAACTGCGTTCGTAGACATTGCTGATGCCGTCACGAATGGATGGCATCGAAAACATGCCATCATCAATACATACGGCCATTCTATACTTATGCGCCTCATGGACACAGGGTTGAAGACGATGCGCGCGAAGCAGACTATCATCTCAAATCAACCACAGCGCCATCGCTCAGCAATCATCGAGCATCGCGACGGAATATCGCAACTCGGTTCTCCACATTTCTTGATAGGCGCATGCCCCTCAAGTGTTGCAACTCCACGTGCAACGCCACTATAACACTCTTATCACCCGCTTTGGTGCATTGCCCCAGCCTGTGGCCAACACATTGGATTTGCACCGCCCTCGCGCAACCGTCTGCATCCATACGTCGGGTGGGCGCCTGGTCCCCCTGGAGGGACAACAACAACCTGCGAGCAAGTATAAGGCTTTCATGATTCAATGGCAAAGCAACTGTTGCCTGCTGCCGCTTCACAATCAACCCTGCGACCAACAATCGCTATAACACTGCCCGAGATGACGCGTCCTTGTTAAGATTGAGTACATGATGTCCTTCTTTACTATTGCGAACATGTATGCCGATTTCGGTCAAACTGCTCTATATGATCGACCAGGGACTAATCAATCCCTCTTTATGCGTTTGCCCCGTTCTCAAGACCACCTGAATGCCTGTCGCCCGGATCATGACGCACCTCTCCGCATCGAAGAAACCAGACAAGTACTCCCAAGTGATGGTATGAAACGTGCGAGGTGCCTCTCGTTTGAGATCCAGCATGTGGGCAGCCAAGCTCGAGCAAGCCATCGAGCACGTTGGTGATACAAATATTGCCAGCGCGAGTTGGTCATACTTACCCCGCGATGCGGGCAAGAGTCGTCCTGCAGCATTGCGCATTGCATCACCATAGACAGTCCAAAACAATGTTGGTTGCCAATGGCCTCGCCTTGGCTTTTTGTTACAGATGCTTCCGCCCAACTGCTTCAAAAGCTCAACCAACACTTCTCTATGCTACGCGACCTGTTGGAGACGAAGCCTACGTCGACGAAATCTCAGATCTGAGCCCACGCAACCATCCCCGTCGAAGAAGCTGGCACCATAATCCAACGGAACTAGTGAGTGGTCGTCTGATGCCTCAAGATACATCTCAGAATGCAGAGGCAATGGGCACACCCGCCCTGCAAACGCGAAAGTTGGTAATGATGGTAGCTCGAGCCGCCGTATGAACCATCTGGGGCTCTGAAACCGACGCTCAACCCGATTGAACGATACGCAGCGCCTGGATGCAGAACTGTCAGGGGAGACGCGCCTGAAATTCATCACATGGGCAACGCCAGGACACCGCCTCTGCAGCATTGACAAGAGGGGCACGGAGCGCCCTCCTCACACGACACGCGTCCTGGAACATACCAGCAGTCGCCCAAGTGGTTCCGAACCAAAACAATCAGGGTCAAACTGGCCTGTGCCGAAAATGCTTGAACCAAGACGGCCTCAACCGAAACCGCTGCAGGACGTGTGTTGCTGTTTCGGGGCTTCTGCGATATCGCAAAGATCTCCATATTCTACCAGCCGTTCTGACCGGCCTGGAGCCGTCGCGGAGCGTCGAAATTTGGGGCCTCTTGTCGCTTACTCGCGCCCTCTGCGCGACACCCGGGCCTCTCTGGTGTCCCTCGGGGCTGTTTTCACGCCCCCCCCGCCAGATTGCAAACACACACACACATATATATATATATATACATACATACATACATACATACATACATACATACATACATACACATAAGAAGGGGATACATGGATAGCCGCGTGGATCCGTACATACATGCATGCATGCATGCATACATACAAACATATATACATATACACACATAAACATAAGCATGAGCAGACACGTAAACATAATCACAAGCATCACCATACACAAAAACATAGACATAGACAGGAAAATAAGCACCAACACATATGCATACACACACAGGTACGCATCGTCCTCCGACGCCCAGATGGCTGCACTGAGCGGGTAACCTACGCCAAGGCGGGATGCACGCTCAGCAAAGCTAGCAGGTTCGTGTGGTAGCGCGCACAGAAATTGCATCCTTGGCACAGTCCGGGCTGGTCCTCCAAGCAGCAAGGACGGACGGCGCAGGAAAATGAGGCGTGAGAAAAAAACAGAGCATTGACAGGCAGCAAGGGAAGGAGGGGAGCGGAGGAAAAAGAGCAGGACGGTAGGCAAAAAGCGGCGCCGACAACAAGCGGCGGAAGCACAGACAGGCGGAAAAGGCAGGGGCTGGGTGAAAAGGAGGGCGGAAGCTGCCGACCGCACGCACGCACTTTTGTATTTCCTACGACGCGCGGCCGAAATCCAAACCGCGGAAGCGACGCGACGGGGCACGAAAGCCTCGCATCCACGTCCTCGTGCGGAAGTGCTGAATTAGAGGCTAGAAACGTGCGTAGGCGAACCACGCACGCAAACACACACTTTTGAGTCGGCGGCGCAGAGGAGCTTCAGGCACGGTCGGCATGTGGAGGTGCCAAGCGCGAACCAACTTAATCTAACGCACCATGATGAAAACGCCCAGTCAAGGCCGTGCATATACATACATGGTGAAAAGCATGAGGCGCTGCAAAGCCAAAATGCAGCGGCCAACGAAACGAGGAGCGTAAAGCTCGACTCGAACAAGTTGAAGCGCCAGCAGCAGTCTGGTGCCAACTGGTGCCACTGAATCATCGGAAGGACGTCAGACAGTGAAAAACAAAGACAGAAACCTGTGACACTGCCAGGCCAGCCGAAAAAGTAGCACTGAAGAAGCTACGGCCTGGCGAAACTGATTGGTAAGGTGCAAACCTAACCGGCGATGCCCGATGCATTAGCGTAAGTATGGAGTGCTGGATTGGTGGCGACGGAGCAGCACGCGTAGAAAACCGCACTGACAAGGCCCAAACCAATCAGTTGAAGCCATGCCGTAAAATCCTTGGCGGGTCGCCACGCCACCAAAAGAGGCCAGTGTCAATGACACGCCCAGGCTGGCCGAAAAGAAGGCTGCAACAGAGGCGCCGATCAACAAAAAAGATTGGCAGGGTAGCGCGCGAGCAGCGCAAGTAGAGAGGAGAGGTGCACTGTACGCACCGACGTCCAGGTCGCCACCAAATCGACCAAGGACGTTTGAAACAACACGCGGAAGGCACCGCGCGGCACGCGGAAGGCCTAGATGAAGGGCCAACGCCGACCCTAAAGAGGAGAGAGAGCTCCAGGCGATACAACAGGCACAACCCCCGTGATGGAGACCATCCGGACGGGGGGGGAGAGGGCGGGAAAGTGCAAGCAGGGCAGAGGCAGGAGGGCAGCCCGGGAAGACGGCGGCGGGGTCCCCACGACACGGCCGAGCCCACGACCGACGACGACGGCGACCGAACGAACCCCGCGACCCACGAGGAGGAGGCGGGGACCGACGAGACACCACGGGGGGAGCGCCGGAGGGTGGCAGAAGAGCCGCGCAGCCTCCGACAGAAGACGGAACGCCACGGGGCCTGAGGCAACGGCGAAGGAAACATGGCGGAACCAGGGGCGGCAGAGCGGCGCGCGTCCAGAGCGACTGGTAACGGGGCACAGCAGGCGACTCATCGGCGTGTGTGTGTGTGTGTGTGACACGAGCGACAGATCCGTGTGTGACGAGGCAAACCAAGGCGGTCGGGCCACCAGGGCTGGCTCGACGCAAGCGCTGATGAAGTCGGGGGCGCTCCTGAGGGCGCCAGCGACGCCGCCGAAACCAGCTGGGCTGCCGCCTCGACCGCCGGGTGGGCCGCCAGAGGGCCCATGTGGCCCACGCAGAAATCGGGGAGACTTAAGACTGGGGTACGGGGGACACGGGTTGGCCGGACGGGGCCATCAGAAAAAAGACGAGGCCCAATCTGAAATTTGACGCGAACTCCCGCTGCAACCATCCCACGAAAATTGGACCGTCGAAATCCAGGACGCGCTCGTCACAAAAACGTCGGCAAACCCGAGTTCCGGTGTACTCGAGTCTTACGTTTCCCGACAAAACACACACACACACACAGACACACACACACACACACATAGACACACACACACACACACACACACACACACACACGCACGCACGCACGCACGCACGCACGCACGCACGCATGCATGCACACTTTCTCAGCATCGCGGGCTGGGCACACAACGAGCCGTCCGAAGGTCACCTCCGGCGAAGCGAGACCGTAGTGGGCCCTCACGGGGCAGTGGCGGGGCAACGCAGGCAGCGGGGCCGCGGCACCGGCGGGCGGGCAGCGGGGCAGCGGCGGCGAGGGGTGGGGGGGGGGGGGCAGCGCCGCCCCGGACGGGCGGTGCCGGGCGGCGGTGGGGCAGGGCAGCGGAGGGCGGCGGCGGGCCAGCGACCGCCAAACGGGCGGTCGCCAGCGCCAGCGCAGCGGGCGCGGGCGGCCCCGCGGGGACGAGAGCCGGCGCGGGAGAGGGGAGACCAGAGGCACCAGGAGCCTCAAAGCGAGGCCCAACCGCTAGGGCGCGCCAGGTGGGGAGCGGCCGGCCTACACGCGATGACAGGCGGTCGCAGGCGACGCGCCAGCAACGCGCGACGGCGGACCTGAGGCAGCGGTAGAGCCGGCAGCGACCTCAGTGGCAGCCCGCCGAGGGCGAAAGCGTGCCACCACCGGGGCAGCGCCGAGCGAAGGCGGAGGGCGAAAGGACGTGCCGGGGCGTGGCGGCGCACCGTGGCCCGCGGCCGACGACCCTCGCGGTGAGTCGCTACCGGCGATCCGCCAGCCGAGCGAAGGAAGAGACGCGCGGCGCGTCGAAAGGCACAGCTGCAAAGGCCGGAGGGAGCAAAAAAAAGTGTTGAGGCCTGCGGCGCGACGGAAGGGCGCGCCGGGGGAGCCGCGCGCGCGCGGGTGCCCGAGCAAACCACGAAACTACGGCATGCGCACACACACACACAGGACATACGGTCAGAGCATTGGAGAAGGAACCATTGGATAAGGAATCCAGGGTCTCGAAGCTAGCGGAACTCCAATCGTAGATTAGCCATGGATACGGAATCCCCCAGGGTCTGAAGCCTCCTAGGCACAAACCAACGCCCCCACCGTACTTTTTCTCCAGCGGACGAGTGAAGTCACTACAGCGAGAGCTAAAACGGAGCGCGTTCGAGCGTCAATTCCACCTGACGTTGCAGATGGTGGACTGCGCTACGCAAGGCGGCGTGCAGAAGCATGGGAGGGGAGGCTGCGCCATGAGAGCGGGTGCAACACCGCAGGTGCAGCGTGCAGGCGAGACGAGCCGGGTCCGCGAGTGGAGGGGTGACACCCCCACACACACACACACACACACACACACACACACACACACACACACACACATACACACACATACACACAACACAACACAACACAACACAACACAAGACAACACAACACAACACAACACAACACAAGACAACACAACACAACACAACACAACACAGAACAGCACAGCACAGCACAACACAACACAACACAACAAACACAACACAACACAATACAACACAGCACAACACAGCACAACGCACAATGCACACAATACACACAATACACACACACCACAACACAACACAACACACACACACACATTCACACACACACACACACACGAACACGCGCATATTTTACTCGACAGCCTCATGCGCAGCATCGCGGCGGCCACACACACACACACACACACACACGCACGCACCTGCTCGGCTCGGCGCCACAACGCGCGTCGACCCCGGCGGTCAGCCGCCCGCGGTCCCCACAGGTCGTGGTCTGAAGGCCCCCGGGGCACGCCAGGGGCTGCCGGAGGCCGCAGACTAAAAAAACAAAGCCACCGAATGCCGCGTCACGCCGCGAGGGGGGCCCGCGTCCTTCAGGAAGTACTCGTCGAACACCGGGAAAGCGCTCTTGACGACCCCGAAGCACCCGCGGGCGTCGTATTGCACCAGCGTCCCTGGGCCGCGCCGCCACGACCCATGCCTTCCCGTCCTTCGACTCCGACGACCCCTCGGAAAAGGGAGGGGGAGGAGGGGGAGGAGGAGGACGGGAGAGGAGGGGGAGGAAATGAAGGAGAAGGAGAAGGAGGGGCAGGGAGGAGCAGAAGGAGGAGGGGCCATCCACATTTCCCCTCCTCCACCTCCTCCTTCTCCTCTTCCACCCCTTCGTTTCCTACATCCCTCGTCCTTGTGAAGAACTCCTCCTCGTCGAACCATTGGAGGTTTCGGTAGGGCGAGCCAAGCGTCTCCCGATCGACATCCTCACAACTTACAAACCAGAAGCGCGAGGTTGGTAATAGCAAAAACGAAGAAGGGCGGGTGGCTCTCAAAATAATACTCTCGCCACCGCGCATCGCACATTCGGCTTTAAATATCCCACCACGCGAGCGATAGAGAGCTTTTCAATGTGTGGTTCTGACCTTCGTATCGCGCGCATTCGTGGAGGGTCCAAAGTGTTGCTCTCGTCGTAGTGACGCGCACACTCATCTCGAACGTTTCTGACAGTTACAAGGATGGAGGTTTGAGGGTGGCTCCTCCTCAAAAGTGGGCTCTCACTTGGGAGGTCCCCAAAAACAAAGAATACACATATGCGTGGAACAGCTTCACAAATGGAGGTGTGCTCCTTTTCCAAAGGAGGCTCTTGCTGAAGTTCCCATGTCCATCCAAGTGAAAGCGCGCAACAGTTACATGGATGGGGGGCGGCTCTTTCCCAAACATACACCCTCGCTGGAAAAAGTCGTTCAACGATGACCAGCGCTGCACTTGCTATAGCGAAGTGAATAGGGGATCGGCCGCTGTTCAAAACGAGTGGCGACCGGTAAGACTGTCGCGTTTCACAGGCGGGACTGAAGGGCTGATTGCAGCATCGCGGATGCAACCTGGGAATGCTCTGGTTCCTCCTCCTCCTCCTCCGCCTCCTCCAAAACCCCTTCTCCTCCAACCCCTCCCGTCTCCTCCTCCTCCTCCTCCTCCTCCTCCTCCTCCTCCTCCTTCTCCTCCCCCCTCCTTTTCCTCTTTCCCCTCTCCACTCCTCTGGAGGCGGCCCCCTGAGGGAACCACCTCAACGCGATCCCGAGCACGTCCTCACGCAGGGCCAGGCGCGGGTGGCGCCACTGCCACTTCTGCCACCGCGCTGGCCACGACAGGCAGGGGCCCCGCGGGCGAGGGGGCCCCCGCGGGCGACACGGGCACGTCAGGGACCGCGCCCTGTGCACGACAAAATTCCTCGGGATCACACAACTCCGACAAAATGGAGCGAAGGCCCTCCACCCAACCCAACTCCCGAGGCTCCAGCGGAGGGAAGACAGGGAAGGAGCGAGGGAGAAGGGATCCTGGAGAAGGGTCCTTGCCCTTGCGCAAAACCCTCAAGGAGCGGCGGTCCCAGTCTGTAGGAGGGACACAGGGCCTGCCGATCTTGAGGACTGGCTGGGCGCCGCGAGACACACACCTGGAGCACCGCACGACGTCTTCGACGGGCCCACCCGCCCACCGCAGTCGGTGAGAAGGGTGGGCTCGAGACAAAATATCGGGGACCCCAGGGCAAGGCCGAGAGATGACCTTCCCACGAGAGCACCCCGTCCTACCGCAGGCGACACAGCCCCAACGGCCTAGGTCAAACATGGCTCTTGGGAGCAGGAGCTTGATAGGCGTAGTAGATGTTTGTATGGGTTTCCCTTTGACATTGTATCGCAGAGAGTTTCGCGGGCACCCCGTTTTTCAAACAATGGCAAAACAATAACTTTTCGAAGTGTCAAACACACAATTCGGATCTTCCAGTCGCAGAAATCAAATATGGCTCTTGAGAGCAGAAGGTCCGATAGGTGTAGTAGATTGTTACACCGATGTCCTGTGGTTCTTCTTTCTGAGAGGTTCTAGCGCGCGCCCCGCTCCTCAGGCAATTGTAAAACCGTAAACTTCCGCGATGTCACACGCACCGCCAGACTCTCCAGCCGCAAAGGTCAATCATAGTTCCTGGGAGCGGAGGTTTCATGAGTTCAGCAGATCCCCAAGGATGGTATTTGCGTTTGGGTGAGAATGTCCTTAGCTGTGTTCTCCGCCAATCACACGACAGCGTATGTCGAAAGTCGCCCTTGCAAAACGACGATTTCCTGCGAAAAGGGGGACGGATGTACATGATGATGAGTGGCTAAACCAATTCTCAAATGACGACACTTACGGGTAAAATTACGCGCGCGTGATGTCGCAGGCCCCGAATGTGCTCGGCGAGTGCCTGAGCAGCCATAGCCCCCCCCCCCATTTTTCAAATAAAAACATGGTTTAGCAGGGCATAGAATCCGGAAGTTTTTTCACAGCCTCCCCAAACCTTTTTTTGACAAACACAGTGGCCAAGAATTAAGGCGAAGCGGCAGCGAGACTTCAAACTCTTGTATCTATATATGTAAATACATCCATGTGTGGAAAAGGTGTGTATATATATGTGATATATATATGTATATACATATCGGTTTGTCTGACGCCACCCTGAATAAATAGATATGTCTACCTATCTACGCAATCCCAAGCTTTCTCCCAAGTACTACCTCCCTTTCTTGTCTAACTGACCCCGCTGGGAACGGGCCTAGTTCAACGATCGGGCTCAACACGGTCTTCTGACTTTCAAGCCTCCAGGCCCACAAGTTTAGAGTGCATCGCGCCTCCTCTGGCCCAGAAGCCGCGCACAGTCCCCAACATCCCACACTCTCTCTCTCTCTCTCTCTCTCTCACACACCGCAACGCGTACTGTGTGCTGCGCGCTGCGCACGACACGCGGCGATCTGGAGAGCCAGAGAAGACCTGGATTCCTACGCGGCACGCAGGTGGCCTGCCCAGAAAGAAACGGTCGTCAGGTTCATAAGATCGCTGATAGAATGCTTACTGCAGACAGTGCTCCAACCAATTGCCTCAGAAAATTCAGCGGCGTGCCTGCAGCATGGCATAGACAGCAGCGTTTTCGAGCGCCCAGGTTGCCAATGCTGAGGGTCTTCCCGTCGTCAGGGACCTCGCTCAATGCCTCGCACGCGTGAGGACAAGGAGACGCTCCCACTCCCTCAAATTCGCATGAGCTAGAAAGACACGACCCAAAGGATTGCTCCCCCTTATCATGGAGAAGACACGGAAAGCGGAAACGTAGAAGGACGCAGTTCCCAGATCAGCAAAGTTATCACGCAGGACGCGAGAGGGTGCCACTCTGTGAGTGTGGAAAAAAACAAGCGGACGCGACGTCAAACGAACGAAGTGCACAGATCGGCTGCCCGAAGGATGATTCACCTTACCGTTGCTGACGTTGCGGTTACCAGTGGGGTATGGTCGGGAACTTCTGCTTCACGTGTCGCAGTGGCGGCCCCAGCAGCACGCTGTGCCTTGCGAGCGGACAGCGTGTCGCTCCGCTCCGCGGAGAGGGAGGCTCGGAAAGGCTCGGGACGGTGGCGCTCGGCTGCTGGGACGCGGATAAGTGTCGCGCCGAAGCGCGGTGGGCCAGAACTGGCGGTGCGACACGCGAACACAATGCCCGACCGTACTCACACTACTGCTGCTTGAAGTTGCAGTGGCTAGTGGGGTATCCCCTTTCGAACTCAATTCTGCAAACAGTGCTTCCACTAAGGGGCTCCCGCCTGTCTGCACGAAAGGAGATGCCCGTGGGCCAGCGTTCGGGGCGGCAGGCGGCCGTCAGTCCCATAGGACCCCATCCGTAGAGCCCACGCAAGGGGTCCCAACCACAGGGCCCCGCCAATGGGGCCCCACCATGGGGTCCCGCCCGCAGTGTCCCACATATGGGCTCCCACGCACAGGGTCCCACCCAAAGGGTCCCAGCCCCCTATCCCCCTCCTCCTCCTCCTCCCTCCCGTCCAGCCCTCAACTCCTCCGTCTCCTCCGTCTCCTCCTCCTCCTCCTCCTCCTTCTCCTCCTCCTCCTCCTCCTCCTCCTCCTTCTCCTCCTCCTTCTCGTCCTCCTCCCCCAAAGCTATACAAGACTGACCAACAGGGAACACAGCCAGTTCCTGGAAGGGTGCGTGCGACTCCGACGGATCGCCTCTCTGCCTCTGTCGCTACGATTACGACGGCTTGCGGTTACTGCGATGGCATTACCTGTGTCGACATGGGCGCTGGTTCTCACACCGCCTACGAAAACTATGATCAACACCCACCAGCAGTTGGCACGACGGGCGGTGTCTCTCAGGAGGTGGAGGGGTGCGGCCCCAGAACTACTCCGCATGCTTCTCATGGGGCATCAGGCAGACGTGCGGTACCACCTCTGCCGAAGATCCTTACAGCTACTGCGGTGGCGGCTGCGCCGGCAGGGACAGGATGCCCTCGCCTTCTGGGACCACGCTGTCACGAGCGCGCAGACAAAAGGACCGATCCTCGCTTATAAGGCGCATCTGGCTACCATTGGTGCCCAACAGAACGACAACTGGGAATGGAGGGGACCTCAGGGAAGCCTCCGGCTCACCGACGAGACAGGCAAGCAGCTACACGAGCTTCGCCTGATCCTCCGATCCAACGAATGGTCTGTGTTACAGAACAGGACTCGCCGCGAGAGCCCTCTGGCGGCGGGCGCTCTCTTTCCGACGGCTGCCCTACGGGTCGCCCAGGACGCACTACGAACAACTCCTGACTTGGCTTCGCACATCACTGCGGTATTGTGCGGGTGTGCTGTGTCGGACGCCCTCCTGCAATCCCACACGACAGGAGAGGTATCGGATAAATGCGACCACTGTGGTGGGCCATACGTGCCCACGCTCGAACACCACTACTGGGAATGCTCTGCCAACGACGACCTGCGACGGGGCGTTGCTGTGCCGACAGCTGGCTTGACCCGCCGCCTGGGCTGGCCCACGACAGAGCTCACCAGGAAGACAGCAACAACGACCTGGCTACCTATGGTGTTCACCATGGCACGGGTACGGCAACGGGTATTACACGCTCGGTTTGCCACGACACATGAAGAGGGAAGCCGGGTGCGTAGGAACACTACCCTACAGCCCGGGAGGGAAAACCTATAAAAACAACGGGGACCACGACCATAATTGGGAACACTGACGTTGGGGACACCACACCCTGACGTGACATTGGGATTGCATGTATTGCGGTGCATTACTTTTGTTTTGCCGGGAGGGACCGCTCCCATTATCCCACGGTCGCCGAGGTCATCCCTCGTGGCGCTGTACGACCAGCGCGTCCGGTTCAACCCCAAAGCTATACAAGAAAACTCTACTCGTCTCTCTCCCCTGACTCTGTCGGGAAAATATCCGGTCCTCTCCGCGCACCGTTTCTTAAGCGCCTGATTGGACACATGAGTGTATTGTCTGATGGTTGCTTGACCATCCGATTGTTGCTGGCGTTTCAAGATGGGGGTCTTGTTGCAGCAAGGATCTCATTTTCGGATCGGCGCGATGCTCCCATCGTTCAGAATGGCGCTCTCCCCCCAGCGCGGGCCACTTCTTGGATCCGAGTCCTTCTTCATCGTTGTCGCCCCCCTCATTTCCCCTCCTTCGCCTTCCACTGGTCCGCCTGCTCCCCCCGCTCCTTCCACTCCGGCTCCTGCTGATGCTGTTTGTCCTCGCCCTCCCCCTTCCTCATCCTCCGCCTGCTCCTCTTGACCATGGCCCTGCTCACCCTCCTCCTCCTCCTTCTCCTCCTCCTCCTCCTCCTCCTCCTCCTCCTCCTCCTCCTCCTCCTCCTCCTCCCCTCCTCCTCCTCCTCCCTCCTCCTCCTCCTCCTCCCTCCTCCTCCTCCTCCTCCTCCTCCTCCTCCTCCTCTTCCCATGTACGCAGCTCCCCTGTTCCGATTGCGCCTAAGACAATGTTGCTGTGCTTGATAGTTCCTTGCCGGCTATGACAAGCGTCCGCGGACAGAGAACAACTCAGCGCAACGGGAAGGGATGGGAGGGAGGGATGGGATATGTTAGATGTGGCGCAAGTGCACCTGGCTCGTCCTCCCCCTCCCCCTCCCCCCCGACCCCATCCAGCCCTCCCCCTCCTCTCCCCGGCCGGGCACGCCCACGGTCCCTGAGATCCGACGTTACAAAAAAAACTGCAACATCGCAAAAAATCACGACCGGAACCCCGGACCCACTCT